ACTACGCCATATCTTTATGTTTTGCGACAAACGACAACTTTATAAAATCAGTGTAGCAACTTTTAAAAATCATCATATCGTTTACTTGGCAAATTCGAAGGACGAACTTGTCTTAGATTTCACCCATCTAAATCATATCATATTTGCACATAACAATATACCTACTTACTTCCCATTAAAGTATAAATTCTACAAATAAATAATACTCAACAATATTTAAAATAAAATGAGCCAAGAACGTTTATCGATAAAACCTGATAACATTGAAATCTTTTGTACAGCACTAAAGCCGCCATGTTTTGTGGCCAGATGACGTCACAGTGGCACGAAATTTTGGTTGACGTTTCATTTCCATAGGTTTCCTACTTCATTGGTTTTGTGGCCAGATGACGTCACAGTGGCACGAAATTTTGGTTGACGTTTCATTTCCATAGGTTTCCTACTTCATTGGTTGAGAGTGGAGGACTATTTTACGAAACGTCTAAAGATACGGGAATTAGTTGAATTTCACTCGGATAATGTTTCATTTAAACTTATCTCCTTTCATTTAATTCAATTCCATCCCACCTGCTTACTATTTCAAATAAATTAACTTGATTTCATTCCAATCCAGTGCAATTATTAACTAGAAATGTACATATCTGTGCTAGTGATTTATGATTTTAACTCATTGCTGGCAACAATAGCATCGCAAGAAGCTTATTGATATGTGTTTAATCTATATATATTGACATTCTACAAAAAAAACAACATTCTGATGGTTCAAGTAGAGATGTTTTTGCAGAAATTAAATCGATGTTTTGTTTGTGATGCAAAGAAACGTAGCGTCCATAATTTAAAATTTATCAACTTTAATTGATAGATATGCATTGTTAATTATTAGTTTTTATAGTTAGAGAAAAAAAAATTGTGTAATATTGTATATAAAATAAAAAAAATATAGCCATACTATTTTGTGTTTTCGTGCAATTTTAAAACATTCTGTCTATATCTAAAAATCGCACATATGTCAAAAGAAACATCGATTACGTTACACATTATTATAATTATATATTTTTAGTCAATTGTAATTTATCTAAAAGGCTACTTAATTACCTTTATCTCTAAAACAGTAATACTATTGTCATACACGTTTGTTATCCATAGGTAAACCGCAATTAATATATTTCCTAAAATGATTTTTCTCCATCTAATGTCTAATGGAACAAATTCCTTTCAGTAGAAAAACTCGTCGGGATTTTTGGATTTAATTTACCTATTACATTTGTTTTTATTTATTTTTAGTGGTGTACAAAAGCATGCTCTAATCTACTCTATATCCATCGAATAAAGGCAAAGGCATGCATGCAACGAATAGTACATTTTCAATGACTGTATGTTCTATGCATTCTGCTAAATCGATATTTAACGAGACTTTTTGGCGGGAACGCGAGGAGTGAAGTTGTGTGATTTGTTTTATTTTGTCTATTTAGTGTTTCTTCAGGTTTAAATGTGTAATAATGGTGGTTTATTAACTGTTTAATATCTGTGAAAGTGCACAAATGTGGGAAAATGAAACAAAGCTGCTGGACGTAACTTCTCGGGTTCCTCCAAAAAGTCCACTGAAAAAATNAAATCTAAAATATTCTAAAATAGTGTTTAATGCAGATAATGCAAAAAGTGTGATTAAATAAAAACAAAGCGCTGATTTTTGTGATTGATATTTAATTTAAAAACAACATGTGTTAGTCGTAACTTTTCGACACAAACGCAACAGTACCCAAGGGGTGAGAATAAATGTACTGGGGGAATAATGCAATGGAAAACCGTGCTTTAAATAAAATTTGCCTGCCAAAATAAGATGGCTATGTGGAAATTAATTCGGCATGCATTTGGAAACGAGGAATTCACGCTACGTGAAGGAAAAGAGGAAACTGTAGGCAGAGGAGTTGAAAATACTATAACTTTGTCTAGTATAGTTATATCACGACGACACTGTGTTATTAAAGTAGAAAAAAACCAAATCCTCATCACAGATCTAAAGGTACTATGTTTTTTCACGAGAAGATAATAATATAATAAGTAAATTTATTAAACGCTTCAACTTTTGTACAAAAATCCATAAGTGAATGCAGCTGCTCACCGTAATACATTAAATAGAAGTCACAATTGCATTAGTACCCATACTAACTGTAGTGTTCAAACTAAAACGCCCAATATGAAAAATGATACGGTCATCGCTACAATTAAACTGACCTGAAGTGTTATAATGAGTGGCGGCATTCACATTTTTATATTTATTGGTTCTGTATAGTCACACAAGCTTTGCCGTAAAATTCTCTGCTAACATACAGAAAAATAGTACTGCTGAAAGCTTGTAGTAGTAGTAGCTTGAACGGCTCTTACCATAACATAAATATTGATATGACCCTTTAACATAAATATTGATTGGCCTAATATTTTAATTAATACATATGACCCATAGCTATAGTCAATAAGCATTTAGAAGAACCTATAAACACAAGAGTTGAGACTTGAGTTATGACTTACCAATCCTGAACTCTGGATGGTTTTATGGTTAAAGTCTATGGGACCAACCCGTGCTGCCCAGTCATTATTCTAATATAACTATTTTGTAGTTGTTAAATTATATTTGAAATAATAAAATAATATACATTGATTTTAAAAATAATTGAAACCTTGGAAAATCAATCTTATTATTTATTTTATTGTCCTGGTAGTCAGTCAGGTAGCATACGGTACATCTGATGGTGAGTGGCTACTGTTGCCTATGGACGTCAGCAATGCCAGGGGCAGAGCCAAACTATTGCCTACTGATAAATAATAATGTTATACTAATGTGATTTTCTAATTTATTATTTATAAAATACAGAGTTCCAATGGTGTTTATGTTGGACAGAAGAAAATTCCACCAAATGAACCATTTCCTGTTAATAATCATGACATAATTGGCTTTGGATGGGCTGTTGGTGCACCACTTATGAGAATTAATAATACGGAGAAATATGTTTTCCAACTTAAAAAATTAAGTAATGGAATTCCTATTGCGGACCGAATACAATATGAAGAAGAATGCAATGATTTTGATGAAGAAGTGGAAATTCCTAAAAACAATATTTTTAATAAAACACCTATAGCGCAGAAACGAAAAAATGAGGACAATTTATGTTTAGATGAATATGTTAAAGAGATTAAAAAAGAAAGAAATGATGAAATTATTTTATTATCTGACAGTGAAAATGAAATAAAAAAAGAAAGTTTTCCAGACAACTCAAAACATGCAAAATTAGAACCTATTGAAGAAGAAGTTCAAATTCAAAATAATATAAAGTTTGAAGCCTTCAATATTAAGCAGGAGTATATTGTAGAATATGATGATGTACCTATAGAAATAAATGATGACTCTGACAGTGAATTGAATCAATGGTACAGAAGATTATCTAAAAATTCACCTGTAAAATGCTTACCAAAATTGAAAACTGAAAGCAAACCTGAAGATGAAGAGCAGAATAATATATCATATAGCCAGCAAGATGACTATTACAATAATGATTTTTTTGAAGACGATAATAATGAAGACATATTTTCTAATGATATCATAATTATTTCTGAACCTTCAAATTCAAATAATGATTCTCTGTCAGTACAAAATGGCTCAGACGCTAAAATCAATGAATCAAAAAATGTCAACTTCGCAAATGATATTACCAATGAACAGCAATGTTTGGATAGTAAACAAGATGAAGTTGACACCATAGAACAACCTGAATACTTTAAACCAACGAAATCAGAAAAACCTACAAATATTTCATCAAACTTCCACAGTCAAGCAAGTCATAAAGCTAAACTCATAGAACCTCAAATACATGTACAAAAAATTAAAGCTAAACATGCTGCAGTGACAAGTAAGTAATTATTTTAAATCATAATGTCAATTGATGTATAACAAAACTTCTTTTTGTTGTAACACTCTTAACTGAGTTTTTGTGATCGTTATTTAGAATTGGAGGGGATAGATTTGATGCACCTCACAATGTTTTGTTACCTCTTTATGTCATATCACTCTACATACTTTAATATTAATGGTAAAATATATTGTATACAATCCTACTAACATATTTAACTAACTGGCTTTATGTAAAAATTTATAGGATGCTATGTACTAACTATTAATCAAGTTTTCAAATCTAGTTTTGCCATAAAATATCTACAACTGGCTTAAATTGTCTTTGTGTGTGTACTGCTGTTGTGTGTTGATGCCATAACAGCAATATTAATGTTATAGTATTCTCATAGGGACCACAGGGATACCAAGTTAGATGTGAGATTATTTGCTAATAGCAATGCTATTATTTAAATGCTAAAGCCTAAAAATTGTGTGTTCTGTGTTTCTCTTTTACATCTTTCTGATCATAATTTAGCTAATACTTTTATTCTATTAATTGGGTATTTTTTTTTAGAAAATAATAAAATTCAGAAACAGTCAAAAAACAAAAAGTCATTTTCAAAAAGCATTGTTTCTAAATCTGCGAAAGAAGAACGGAAGAGAAAATTACGTCAGCTAGCAGAAAAAGAAAGAAAATGTCGCTCAATTGAAATACAAACGAAAGCCTCAATAGATAATAATTCATCAAAGTCAAGTACTTATATCAAACAAACTATAACTAACCGTAGTGCATTTTTAATGGAATCTTTGCAAATTGATAAGCAAACTCCAAATAAAGAAGCTCAAAACAAAACTCATAATTCTGACAACAAAACTGATAAACTAAGAACTGAGAATATTCAACAGCAAAAAGTAAAACATAGTATCAATTTACCTACAAGTCCTGTAAATGAAGATCATGCAAATGAATCAACGCAAACTAATAAACAGAGTAACTCACCTAAAAACTTTTCTAAGCCCTCTGAGACAAGTACCAAAGAAGTCTTGACCATGAAACCATTAAAAGATGCCGCAGATGCAGAAAATAAAGAAAACAAAACCATCGAAAAAAGTTTTTCTAAAGTTCAAATGCCACACAAGCCAAAAAAATCCGTTAGATTTTCGGAAGCTGGACCGATTGTTCACTTTATCAAAATTGAGCCTGGTAATCAAATGAAAGAAACAAAATTGGCAAAAACATATAATAGCGTCAATCATAAACAAAAACCTAGATATTCGCTAGACAAAATAAATTTGATCAGGATTCTGGGTTGGCTTCCTTCCTGGTTTCAAGAACAAAATAATTTTAATTTTCCGCCACCAATATTAGGAGAAAATGTAGCCCCAATGACCATTTTCCATAAATTTGAGAGTCATAAACAATATGTCAAGTAAGTAATATAAGTATTCTCATTTAATTCTTAGTTAATTCTTAGTTAGCTCAATCCAAGAATTATGTCCTAACCAACATTATTTAAGATTAAGAAGAAAAATGATCACAATCTCCATACCCATAAAAAGACAAAAAAAAACCATCCATAAAGCCGGAACGTATGATACTTTCGCCGCAAAAATAAACATGATGGTGGTCTGCCGGTGCAGTCTCTCAATACGTTATCACCAGCAAATGCGATCGGAATATCATTTAACAAATAGCTGAACAAACTGATGTCCTATTTGATTCTAATATGAGATTAGTAGAGAATTTAATTCTATGAGAACCTCATTTGGACTGTTATGAATGTTTCAAGGCTTACAATAAGCAAATTAGTTCAGACATACTCAAGAAATACTATTACCAACAAATAGCATTTAATTTTTACTTTAAGACAATTAATTGTCTTTGATTCAGATAAAGTAAATCATAAAGTATAAAAATCCGAAGGCCTGAAATAAATGATTTGAATGTGGAATTAAAGATGAACTCTTTTTCATTTTAAACTTTTTTCAGATTAATTGGCAACTTAATTCTGGTGGAAATATGGGAGTTTTTAACATTAGCCTATATGAAATCAGACAGTGAAAACCGTTCTATGGAAATGAGAATTCAGTCGGTACCACCTCCTCCAACCTCAACATTTTCTTACAATTTCTACAACATCCTTGTTGATTGTATGGTGATTTTGTTAATTATTATTTTACAGTAGCATTGTTTACTAAAATTTATCAACATTTTTTAATGTCGAATTATAGATAAAGTAGCGTCGCCTGAATCGAGATATGTTCCTAGAGTTGGAGACATCGTTATAGTTGGATTAATATCAACATCACTGAGAGACCAGCGATTTTTCTTTGTCCAAGATGTAAGGCAACTTCCTTCAACTTCAAGTAAGTAACAGTAAATGAACTAACTGTTGTTTGTACATGAGTACATTATAAACAAAAAGCTTAGCTAAACTTTTATTTTTCAGGTAAAACACATTCATTTTTCTGTATATCCTTGCAGGGTAAATACTCTGATAAAACGAATATCTTTAAACAAGGCGACAATATAATTGTCAAACCTTTAACTTCAATTACAAAAGAATTGTTGCTGTTTGAAGCGATGGATTATTTAGCAAGTTCACCATTATGTAGCACCATATTGAATCCAGAACCAAGTCATTTTACTAAGGTTGNAGGTAAAACACATTCATTTTTCTGTATATCCTTGCAGGGTAAATACTCTGATAAAACGAATATCTTTAAACAAGGCGACAATATAATTGTCAAACCTTTAACTTCAATTACAAAAGAATTGTTGCTGTTTGAAGCGATGGATTATTTAGCAAGTTCACCATTATGTAGCACCATATTGAATCCAGAACCAAGTCATTTTACTAAGGTTGAGTCTACAGTGGACATGAATTTACAGGTTAAAATCAAATTAAATATTTACTAGCTTTAACGATTAATGTAATTACTATATGTTACGAAATACACTCTTTTAGAAACGACTAGCACGCCATCTACTGTGCGTTATTGGTTTACTTACCAACATGAACTGTAGAAAGTTTCAAATCATAATAAATGAGCTGACGAATGCATACTAAATGGACTAGTAGATTTGTCATGTTGGTTCAACACAATAAATCAGCGGTCGGGGAACCGGGGTAAATTACCCCAAATGAGGTAAAATGAAATTTTGGGGGGTAAAAATGAAACTTTTGTGAGTAAAAAGTATATATTATCGTTTTTTTTTGTTCTTCGCCATGGGGTAATATCAACTTACACAAAAATATTTTGGGGTAATAATTAAAAAAGTTCCCCGACCGCTGCAATAAACCAACAAAGTATTCAACAATTTCCACTGGTGGTAGGGTGTATTGTGAACACGGACAGTTACCACCATTTGGTCTGCAAGGGGGTAGTTGATTTACCATATAATATAGACTTCGACCTTCTTAGACCGACTTCGACTTAGACCTTCAATCTCAATAACAATCCTTTTAATATATCTATGGGCTCCACTTGGCCATGACATCGCATTTATGACGATAAAAAAAAATGTTTTTGTTGGTTTATTAAACATGATTGTTGATTTTGTATTTTTTTTTGTTATAGGATTATAATTTTTATAAAATGTGAATATAAAAATATTTCTGTTGTTTACTATTTATGTCTGTAGTGGATGAAGACGCTTAATCATAGTCAACAAACTGCAGTCTGTGCTTCCGTTTCGTCTGCGATGAGTGAACGTCCAAGTCTGCAAATGATACAAGGCCCTCCGGGAACGGGTAATATTTCTTTTACAACCTCTTTTCCACATGTAATTTTAAACATTAGGAATAGTTTAAATATACTTAGATATCACTACATACTATAAAACAAAGTCACTTTCTCTGTCCCTATCTATGCTTAAATCTTTAAAAGTACGCAACGGATTTTGATGCGGTTTTTAATAGATAGAATGATTGAAGAGGAAGGTTTATATGTATAATAACATCCATTAAATAGTGGAGAAATCAATAATAAATTACAGTTTCCGAAGCGAAGCGAGGTCGGGTCGCTAGTATTTTATATAAGCTAGTATTGCCGAGATGCCAGACAGACCTATAGAATCCATACATTTATCAAATCCAAGTGATTCAAATAAAATACTATTTTTCATTTTTACCCACGGTAATAATAGGTATAAAATGTGACTTTAATATTTTGAATTCGCTATATTTTTAAGGAGCACATTTCACGTGGTTTTCGTTCGTGACGTCATCAGATAGTAAACAACACAACATTTAAAACCATGTCTAAGAAGCGAAGGAGTGCTTATAATTATCATGAAAACTAAATTTATTTATTTAATTTCAAATTGAATACGTTATTTGCAGGTAAATCGAGTGTCATTTGTGCCATAGTAAAAACCTATTTTTATGATGGCAATAATAAAAAGCATCAAAACAGAGGAAAAATATTGATCTGCGCAACTAGCAATGCGGCTGTGGATGAATTGGTGATCAGGTTATTGAATATAAGACAAAAATTGCCGAAGGGTAAGTTTAATGGATTCTTGTGAAAACACTCTAAAATTCTTTGAAAATAATAATTTAAAGATTAATATTTAAACCTATTAGTGGGCCCCCAGTAATTGAAATTCGACTATAATTAATTGAAATTATAAGTTTGAACATTATTATGGTTCTATGGTCAAATACTATTATATTTATTTAGTCACCGATTTCGCCAAAACTACGCTATAGACAAATAATATTAAAAACAAACAATATTAACCTATTGTCAATTTGACCACAGACTTCAGACAATAACAACAGTTTGACAAAGAAAACAGTATATAATAATATGCGTGTGCAATGTCTTTTTTATTGATTCAATGTATTTTTAATGCATAATTTTAAAATATATGAACATTCTGCATTTCCTCTCTATGTTCTCTATAAGTGTAGTAAAGTTTCATACTCCTCCGTCTGCGCAATTTTCATAAAAATGGGTACAAAGTTTTTGCTTCACATATTAATATATAGATACGGATTCCCGATCCATTAACGGTGCTTTTAGGTACCCCAAGCACTGGTCATCGTCCTCGTCGAACCCGTCGCTTGCGACGAAGGGCTCGACGAGTAAATTAACCCACAGACACACAGCCCACTGAGTTTCTCGCCGGATCTTCTCAGTGTAGATCTTACCATCGGATCGGAAACGCGACCCGTTTCCGATCCGGTGGTAAGATCTACACGGTTCTTGCTAGGGTTCATGTTCGCAACACCGTCAGGTTTGAGCCCCGTGAGCTCACCTACTAGTCCCGCGACGCTGACATGGTCTCTCTAAACCAGGGGTAGGCAACGTGGCGCCCCCAATCGATTTTTAATTCGCCCTAATTAATGTTAATGTATGATAGTCAGAGCGATTTATTTACTCTTGTCAAACGGCGATATACAATAAGTAGTCTGTTGAGTTTAGGATTGTGCATAGATCAGCAGCTTGCTAACCTTGAGGATATCTAAAAACACGCACGTATTTTTTGTTAGTGTGTGATCGTATTTCGAATAGACCACGCGTAGACCGTGCATTTAAAACTACCAAGTAATCCGAAATAATTATTTTCTTTCAATACCGAACAAAGCTTAATGACTCAGGTTTAGACAATTGCTTAAGGACCGGGAAGTCTAAACGTATCCCCAATTATAAGAAATAAGCTGAAAATATGGACACCCAAGTTTCACACTGAATTATAATTATGTATCATTATGTATGACACCAACAAAATAAAGTTATAAAAAAATCTGTTTTTTTGTAAGCCTATTTATATACCTGTTGATTATCTGTAAAATATGCACCTTCGGTGATTTTCAAATTTAGTATTGCGCCCTTAAGGACAAACAGGTTGCCGATCCCTGCTCTAGACCATCAGCTTAGGTAGAAAAAATACAAATAGAAAGAATTGGTATGTCTTAAGAACAATTTGATCACTCATATACTCTCGTGTTTTACAATAGTGCACGTTTGGTTCCAGAGGAGCGGTTCGGCATGGTCCGCGTGGGCCGCGTGGAGGCCATGCACCCGCGCGCGCAGCTCGTCAGCTCGCACCAGCTGGCGCTGCGGGAGGAGGCGCGACACGACGCGCATGCGCACCACCCCGCCGTCGCGCAGGAGGTTCGAATGTCATCATGTAGACAGTCCAACATAAAACAATTTTTTTTTATTACTTATACGCGCGCTAAGTGGTTACTGGAGCCCATAGACATCTACAACGTAAATGTGGCAACCCACCTTGAAATATAAGTTCTAAGGCCGCAGTATAGTTACAACGGCTGCCCCGCCCTTCAAACCGAAACGCATTACTGCTTCACGGCTGAAATAGGCGGGGTGCTGGAACCTACGCGTGCGGACTCACAAGAGGTCCTACCACCAGTAACTACGCAAATTATAATTTTGCGGGTTTGATTTTTGTTATAAGATGATATTCCTTCACCGTGGAAGTAAATCGTGAACATTTGTTAAGTACGTATTTCATTATAAAAATTGGTACCCGCCAGCGAGATTCGAACACCGGTCCATTGCTAGATACTAATGCACCAGACGTCTTATCCTTTGGGCCACGACGGCTTTGCTAAAATGCTAAAATCGAATATCTCTGATCTTCTGCTGATTTTTTTATTTATCATAATTAATTTTTAAACATACACTATTGTTTTTGTCATTTTAACTTCCATCTGCAGCTTTTAGTTATAAAATAAGAAACCGATGTGATGAATAAAATAAGTCCTTATGAAGTCCGGTAACATTGGCCTTAAGGGCGTCCACTCATTAAAACCAAATAGTTATTCTACTTTTTCTCTTTATGTAAAAGTCTAGTTAGGTTAAAGCTGCAAGTTTAAATCTCTAGGCTGTTTCTCGACGTTGATATCTTTCGTCGTCCAGACGCTCATTTTTATTGTGTTTTGTCACAGATAGCGATCCTAGAAGCCAAACTTAACATGTGGAAGGTTGCAATAGAAAATGCCAAAGATGCCGGCCGAATAGCATACTGCCAAGGACGCATTAACGAGTTCTCGAAGAAAATTCAATCGGTATGACATTTTTATCTCATTTTCGATGATACAGAACGTGTTGGGTTTTTTTTTATTGCTTAGTTGGGTGGACGAGCTAACAGCCCTCCTGGTGTTAAGTGGTTACTGGAGCCCATAGACATCTACAACGTAAATGCGCCAATAAGTTCTAAGGTCTCAGTATAGTTACAACGGCTGCCCCACCCTTCAAACCGAAACGCATTACTGCTCCTCGGCAGAAATAGACAGGGTGGTGGTACCTACCCGTGCGGACTCCCAAGAGGTCCTACCACCAGTGGGCGTGGGTAGGTCTTGGTGTTGGTCTCTAGGCCTAAGATTGCGTCTTCGCAAATAATTAATCCCCTAGAACGGTAAGTATATATGTTAAGTTTCAGCAGTCTTTTTAATTCAAATAATTAAACATACTGAAAGCTAACTCCAAGAGTGAAGTACATCAATTAAACAAAATTACCCGTCATTTCGGATCCTCCCGATCCACTAACGGTGCTTTTAAGTACTTCAAACACCAGTCAACGTTCTCGTCGAACCCGTCGCTTGCGACGAAGGGCTCTTCGAGTAAATTAACCGTCAGACGCAGCCCACTGAGTTTCTCGCCGGAACTTCTCAGTGGGTCGCGTTTCCGGTCCGCTGGTGGATTTTGCGAAGCACTGCTTTTGCTAGGGCTAGTGTTAGCAACGTCGTCAGGTTTGAGCCCCGTGAGCTCACAAACCCGTCTGCACGTAGCTGAGAATAACCCCTTACGAGCGAATGTGTAGGGAAAGAAAAGCGACATGTCAAGAGTGTTTGCTATCGAGTGAGAAGTGTTGTTTCCACGCTTAAAAGGAGACTCCAATCAATGTATTGTTTTGACACGTTTTTGAAAATAAGGAATTTTTGTATTTTGTATTTTGTTGTTGGGTTAGCTGCAGAGCAAGGGACGCGCGGGCGGCGGGCTGGCGGCGGTGGAGCGCCGCATCGTGGAGGGCGCTGACGTCATCGTCACCACGCTCGGCAGCGCGCTCAACTACAAGATGCGCGGGTAAACACACATTTGCACTTCGCTATAACGATCTCAGGGAAACTTTGTTGAAAATGATGAATTTATAATCCGTAAACAGAAAAAAAAAATCTATACTAATATATAAATCTACAGTGGTTTTTACGGATGTTCCGTTATAACTACTGAACCATGCATCCGATTAACTTGAAACTTGGTATCCATGTAGAAAATACATATACTTAATGGATAGGCTAATATTTATATGAGTGTTGGACTCCCTAATAATAATGACAATAAATAATAATGCTAATTTTAAATGCCCAGCGAAGCGGGCGAGTACGGCTAGTATTTTAATAATGTTTTTGCACCGCACAATGTATGTGACACAACTAAGAAGTGGTCTTGAGTACCTACCGCGAGATTTCGATATCACGAAATCTGAACCCACTAAAAATACATCTACTTCTTGTTTATCATTGAGTATTGCCATTTATTTATATTTATTGTGAGCTCTAAATTTTCCCTTTTCTTGGGCGGTTTTTTTTTCATGAATTTGATTCGCTTAAATTCATCTATTTGCACGAATCGACTAGGCTGTGTCTTAAATGCTGAAGGCAGACAAAAATTTTTTGAAACTGAATACGTACCTGATACTCACGAGCGATTACTTTGAAACAATACTCTCGCTGCCGCCATTTTAAGTCACATTTATACTTTACTGAACTTTAAGCCGACAAATCTGTTTGTAACATTGCCGCTTTCCACGGAGGACAAATTAAAAAAATATATCACGCGCCAAACGGCTACAAGTCAAATGTGTCCTGCCAATTGTCAATTGTCTTTGTTACATTATCAATTCTGATCAGGTAGGTTGCGTCCATAAAAATAAAGCAACTTATAACGTAATTATATAATTTAAACAATTCTAAATAAATAGGTATATATGGCATATTGTTGGATGATTATTGTACGTAATCGGCAAACGAATCTGCAATCTCAAAAACCTCGTAAACTTTGTTCTTTGCCTTCAGAAGATGGGACTGTCCCGAAAAGTCGTGGCGGTGTGTAACATTAAAAAAAAAGTATTTATTATTGTATTTAAAATTCTAGATTGAAACACCGGATAGCACTGTGTATAATAGACGAAGCCGGACAAGCTATCGAACCCGAGACTCTGATCCCGCTGGCCCTGGACGTCAAGCACGTTACTCTGATCGGGGACCCGCAACAGCTACCAGGATATATTTGCTCTCAGGTCATAAATTCACACTCTTTGGGTACAACGATCTCGCAACTGTCACAAACTATGCTAAGCTTAAAGAGCACAAGAATATGTATTGTTGTTAGCTCGGTGTTAAAATACGTTCTGATTCTGGTCCAAAATGACGGAATAGTAACCACCGTACCACATACCGCGTAGGCAATGTAAACACAAACATCCATCGCATTAATGTATGAACGTGCAAACCTAAAACGTAGTAGAAACTTTCTCATAACACTTGGCACAGGCTTATCGTAACACACTGACGCTTTGAACGCTGAAATTAAACATTATTTATAAATTTAACTCACTGTTTAACACACTTTACACATACTAATGATAATGTAAATAAATAAAAAATATCTGCGTTTACTTGTAGTAACTCTCTCTCTCTCTCGATCTTTCTCACTCGCTTGCTCCCTACTGTCGCTCCATGGCTATGTGCTTCATGCTACATTCGCCCTTTCTCATTTTCTCTCAGTCAGTCTCGATCGCTCTTTCTTTTTGAACAAAAACTTCTCACATTTTCGTGTTTCTAATATTATTATTGCGTTTCGTCCGCAAAAAAATTACCGTCATGCGCGCAAAGAAGCTACACTGACACTCTTCCTTGATCACGCGGGCAAATTCCTCGGCATGTAATGAACGTAAATTCGAATACATAGTAAGTCCTAATCTAATTATTTGAATGTACAGCGAGCCAAGGAACACAGGCTGGGCGAGAGTCTGTTCTCCCGGCTGACGTCATGCGCAGAGCACTGGGCAGAGAGTCCGGTCGTGCTGCTGAACCAGCAGTACCGCATGCACCCGGACATTGTGGACTACCCGAACCGCAGCTTCTACAACTCCCTCATCCGCACCGTGTACGCGCCCAGACCCCCCATCGACGTGCCGCCTTACTGCATCGTCAGTGTGCCTAGTGGAGACACCACGCAGAGTAAATATTTAAAAAATAAACGGTGCGCGTGCAACTTGGTGCACGCGAATGAAGTGAAACTTCTTTTTCGATGTGTAGTATTGTGGTTTTCTTCATTTTTCATCCTTAAATCAGATTGCTCTTGTAATAGGGAATGCTGTGTACAAAAGATGCGACATATTCAACATTTATATTATATATATTTTAAATTATAGATAGAAAAAAAAAATCGACGCTTGAAAGGCAAACATGACTAAGCGACAATGCGTGAACTTTACAGTAGACTAATTTAAAGTTGAATTACCTGAAAAAAATTCTATTTTAACGAATCTAGCTGTAGGATTGAAATTATTTTAATAGGCCTAGAAATATATATTTTTTGCGCATCGAATATAGTTATTGCCTATCATTTATAAAATGTATAAAGCAGTTATTGTCGCTTAGTCACGTTTGCCTTTCAAGCGTCGATATATATTTTTTAAATACATGAAGTAAAATATTAGACGCTACTCGTTGCTAACGCTCGCGCTGGTCTGTACTAGTACGCGCATGCGGTCGAGTGTCACGCATTCACTCTCGCTCTGTCTCTTTCTAGTGTGGTTGCGTTAAACGTTTAACGCAACCTTGTTCAAAGTCGCATTAGAAGTTTCACTTCAAAAAATCATTACCATTGAACGGTTTCAACTAGTCATGTAAATATATCCTAAGATACTGAACAGGCTGTATGAGAAATGGACACCTTACCAGTTGTCGGTGATTCCTGACGCGTCATCATTATCACGGACTACTGCTACACTAAAGTACCAAAATGATCGCAGGCGTTTGTAGCTTCTGTGCGAGGTTGAACTAGTGCAGACCAATCAGTTTCTCTTACGTTGCGTGTTTACAATAAATATGTGAAACGTTAAGTCTTTCTGCTTGCCTAAACAAATGTTTGAAATATCAGATTAGTAATACATGGCCGCCTTCTTCCTTGGCATCGACCAACCGGATTCTTGAATTTTGAACATATTTTTATTTTCAATGACAGGTTTGGTAGGAGTCAACGAAACGGAAGCGTGGGGCGTGGCGCGGCTGGCGGGCGCGCTGGCGGGCGCCACCCGCGACCGCGGGCTCAGCCTGGCCATCATAACGCCATACAATGCGCAGAAAGATCTCATCAAGGAAAACCTCCGAAAACTTCATGCAAGGTTAAATGTTTAATCATCATTAAATTCGCTTCAACATCTGGTCGAGTAAGTGAATATGGTAAACGCAGCTCAGACTTTGAAGGCGATTTCTGGCCGCAGTCATTCCATGAATTATTTTTAATTTCTAGGGTCTCAAGTTAATAGACCGCTTGGCCTGAATTAAATATATCTATCTATATTTATAAATAGTACATTGTGTGTGCTATTTTTTCTCCTACCAGGCCGAAAGTTCGTGGAGTACCGAGCCGGGGTACCGAACCGAGTCCGGGCGAAGCCCTGGCNGACTTTGAAGGCGATTTCTGGCCGCAGTCATTCCATGAATTATTTTTAATTTCTAGGGTCTCAAGTTAATAGACCGCTTGGCCTGAATTAAATATATCTATCTATATTTATAAATAGTACATTGTGTGTGCTATTTTTTCTCCTACCAGGCCGAAAGTTCGTGGAGTACCGAGCCGGGGTACCGAACCGAGTCCGGGCGAAGCCCTGGCCGGGGGTAGGGGGGCGGAGCCTCCCATACTCATAAAAAAAAACAATTTAACTGTTTTTTTAATTTTTAAATTAACTGCTACTAATTGAATAAGAACTGTCTGATGAACTCATCTTTGTTTAATACTTCACTATTAAATTCTATTGCCTTTTGTTTATTTCACTTTTACACTAAACACAATGTTGCAAATTACCCGAGCACAACAATGGTGAAGAATTTTAGGTGCGTGAGAGCAGACGTAGACACTACCGCGCATGCGCACTTGTCAGTACTCAGGGAGAAAAAGTTACTTTCTTCCCTGTACAGCGGGACGAAAACCGAACTTTCGGCGTAGGTAGGAGAAAAAATGAATTGCTGTTCGTTAGTCTCGCTAAAACTCGAGAACGGCTGGACCCATTTGGTTAATTTTGGTCTTGAATTATTTGTGGAAGTCCAGAGAAGCTTTAAAAGGTAGATAAATATGAAAATGCTCGGAATTGAATAAAAATAACAATTTTGTTTTTCCTTTTATGTGTCTCCCGTCGGACGCGGATTCCTTTTGTTTGTTTTAAGTTTAATTTTATACAAATGTTTAGGTCTTTTATTTATCGATTAAGGCACTACGACGTCTGCCGGGTCAGCTACTATAAAAATATAAAGAAGCGTCTAGGATCGCACTACCGCAAGTCAGCGTTGCGCATTTCGACCAGAGCAGATTAATTAACAAGAGCGACATTTTCCAGGAGCACGTCTGGCGTGGAGGTGAACACGGTGGACAGCTTCCAGGGGCAGGAGCGGGACGTGGTGGTGGTGTCGGTGGCGCGCACGCACGGCGTCGGCTTCCTGTCGCACGCCGGCCGGACCAACGTCATGCTCACCCGCGCGCGGCACGCGCTGCTCGTCTGCCTCGACCCGCACGCTACTCTTGTAACTACACCCGCTCTCTCTATTATGTGAACACAAGAAAACTAGCACTAAAGACATTTTTTTTGCTACCTATGCTGATAGCCTTGAGAGGCTATTTCAGCTTCTCCTTGACGTGTGGATGAGCTCACGGAGCTCAAACCGGGAGCGTTGCTAACACTGGCCCTAGCAAGAGCAATGCTTCGCAGAATCAATTTTCAAATTTTTTTCTGGTGATAGGAACTTGTGAGTCCGCACGGGTAGGTACCACCGCCCTGCCTATTTCTGCCGTGAAGCAGTGATGCGTTTCGGTTTGAAGCCGTTATAACTATACTGAGACCTTAGAACTTATAAGATGGGTGGCGCATTTGCGCTGTAGGTGTCTATGGGCTCCAGTAAACACTTAACACCAGGTGGGCTGTGAGCTCGTCCACCCATCTAAGCAATAAAAAAAAATCTACCACCGGATCGGAAACGCGACCCGCTTAGAAGATCCGGCGAGAAACTCAGTGGGCTGTGTCTATGGGTAAAGACAATAATGCCAACGCTGGACAAATAAAACTTTTCCAATAAAACATCGTATTTTAAATAGGACAGCTTTTTTGTTACCTGTTTATACCCGACGATCACACTTTATTATTATAGCTTGATACGCAGGACAGTTAGTAAATTCATAAATAAAATTACTGATCCATTTTGTAAGCTTAGGTTCTGTTATAATATAAAATAATACTTAACTGTAGTTTCTTTAATTTGCAGTCAATTATCAAATTGAAAATATTCATTTGATATTTATAATTTTGATGACATCTGATTCGCCTTTATTTGGTCACAGAAAAATCCCCAATGGCGTACACTGATAGAAGATGCGCAACAAAGGAATATGTACAGAGTGCTTCCCAGTTTTTTGTGTCACCCCGGAAATGTGATGCAAATACCCGACGAACAAATACTGAAGTGCTTACAAACTCCGCGGTAGGAATGTCGCCATCGGTTGCGTCGAACACTTGTTTTCACTATCAACTTCTATTGTAAATATAAATAAGTGATCCGTGATAGTTAAATTGTTGCTTAGTATTTAAGTAAACTTTTTTATAAAAAAAAAAACTAGAATAAGTAATGAAATTGGCATATATTGGTTGTACTTTTATTAGTGCAAAGCCGTATATCATGGACAATACATTTAAATTATAAATAACCCAAAAAAGGACATTTAATACGAAGAAAGTAGGTAGTTTACTTCTACATATAGAAATTGTAAAAGAAAGTAATGTTTGCATTTGTGTATAACTATACATCTTTCATTGTTAACGCTGTCTTCAACGTTCTTTAATTTTTTTATAATTCTAGCATTTACTAGTTAATATGTCCTTGATAACTGAATAATATAGTATGTAGAAGTACCTATGAGAAAAGTTTCTCAGCCATATTTACTTAAAGCTTGTAATGTATTTAAATATATTTTTGTAAAGCATGTACTATGTGATAGATACAATAAATCTCCAAAGCAAAATTATTTATCTTATTTTTTTCAAGCTGGTAACGGTTGTTGTCGAATCCTCAAAAGAAAATCTATACTAATATTATGTTTGTTTGTCCTTCTTTCACGTTGAATCAGAGCAAAGGATTCCGTGCTCCCGTAAGGGGGTACGACGACCCCTCTTGCTTGTTCGGCCACTCTGTACACGCGCTATTCTCGGCACAGGCACGTCTAGTATGAACTCTGCTATTGGCCAAAATTCAATCGTTTATAGACGAACTAAGAATTCAGAATATTTGACATCAGAGTGGTAACCACTGTCAATATTGAGGATTTTTATTGTCCAAATAAAACAAGACTCGATGTAGTAAACTTTTATCTTTTGTTTACTTAAGAATATTTCATGAAGGCAACATTCTAATTGCCAATTAGAAATTAACTATTTTACATAAATTCCATGTATTGCTTTAAAATGTCATATATTTTACATTTCAAAAAGTGGACGTGAAGTAACCGAGATATTTTTGTACATCAGCAGAAAAAAATTATAGCTATTAGTTATTGATTCATTAAAAATTAAAGTGTCTATAAAACTAAAAACAAGAAAGTCAAACAGGACGAGGCATAACAGAAAATGCTTAAATCATTTTTTTTTCCTTAATTGTTTGATGTTTTGAAACTTTGCTTGTCTCAAACTGGTTTTATTTCATTAGACAAAACCATAACACATCTCATTCATCACCTTACGCATTTCGTTACGAACAAAACATTTATTATAATTATTATACTTTATAATGTTTCTGTACTGTTTAACATAACTATAGCTTAACTCTATGCAATGTTGGCTTGTAAATATTCTCTATTACTAAATTATTACTTGAAAACTATATCACATTATATGAATATTTTAACAACCTTTAAAAATACTTGTATGTCGGTACATAAATAAAATACCACTTCCAAAGTTATTTCTATAAACTTTTGCCGAACTATTATGTGCTCTATTCTTGAGCAAGTTACAATAACAAATCAATTGAAAAAAGAAAACGCATTAAACTTCACACTGTGAAAGTTTCTTCTTAAAAAAATGTATTTGCGAAACACGTCGTTTTTATTCCACCAAAAATCGTTAAATAAGCTGTTAAAAAAAAATTATTTATCCTGGATGCCCAAATACCAAACTGTAGTGATTAGAGGTTTTAAGAGCAAATGTCATAACAAATTTGCTTCTTCTAAAATTTCAAACATTATCTCCTTGATTACAGAATCACATGATATTCTCTAAAATAAGTTCATCAATGGGCGCCCGTCTATATCGAAATGTTAGTGTTTTCTACTCGCAAAATGAACAAAAAGCTATTTTAAAGAAAAGGAAAAACCCTTCTAAGCTCAGCTTTAATATTCTCCAAATTATCAGCGATAACGGTATGCGCTGATATTTTAAAACAGTTAACTTATAAATGTCGATTTTGATTAATTGAATAAAATCGTCATAATCAATAGCATGTCAGGCGCACTACCGTGCGATATTCAATAATTCGTTGGGCGATTTTGAAAATCATTTCAAATTGTGATTAAACAGCCCCATAGAGAACTTTGCCTGTGCCTTTCTGTCCGTTCTATCCTCGTCAGGTGCGATGTGGTGTTTGATCATTGACCGAGCAGTTAAATGAGCATTATTGAAATAATATTTATCTATATTAAGTATTTTAAATACGCCTATACGGCTATGGACCTAATATGAACCGAGAATAATAGAAGGAAAAACTATGGTCATTTTAATAAGACATAAATGGATTGATGATTACTCTTTATTTTTTGTGGAAAGTTATCAGAATGCTTTCATTCTATGAAATGATGTATGGGGGTTGTAGATTCTGAAGCAAAGTTAATTCTTTGAAGTTATATATAATATATAGCTACGTACATGTGAATGACACTGAAATCTTATTATTGCATAATACAACTTCGAATAACGTTTTTGACACCAAACAAAAACCAAATAATGAACGTATGCCATAAAATAGATAAAGAAGTTTTGTTAAATGTACAAAGGTTTCGCATTTTAAGCAGAACATGCCACGAACAACTCGTTTTTGTTATTTTTTAATATTATCTAGTCTACTTATAAATTACAATTACATGATAATCTTAATTAAAGAGGTTTTATGTTTTTTTAACTGCTATTAAAGGCTTAACTGGCAGTAATTATTGGTTTAAATGTTTTTTATTTCTTTTTTCTTTTAAATAGTAAAATAAATATATTTCGACCGTAATAGCTGAACTGATACATCGCAAAGCGTACCCAATTCATTACGTGTAATTCGTTCGCGTTAATTAAGTAACATCCAACTTTTCATATTTCTTCATGCTCATTTTCAACGTTGTTTATATACTCGTAGGTACATATATTAATTTAATAGTATATATACAGGATATAAGGTTCCCAAAACATAAGCGGAAAAGTTCTCTTTGAAGTGCCGCGTACCGTCTCGCACCGCTGCGCCCGGGACCCACGAGAAGTTAACCTCGTGCCCCGTGCATCAGCTGTGAGCGTGCATTGTAACATCTATTATAGACTATAATTACGCTAAACTAAGAAATATTGTTTTTTCAATTTCGTTCTTTATATCCAATGTGCCCGCCTTCGATTTCCGAAAGAATTCCCTTATTCCCATTAGACTAATACATAATAGAGTTATTAATTTGTTTACATTAGATATTCTGCATTCACGGCACATTGTGATCAGCGAGAACGGGAATATGAAAATCTGACAAGAAGCATAATTACATTAATTATAAATTTAAAGGCATTCATAATATTTCACTAAACTAAACGTCCATGTGTCACCTATATACACAAATGTGACAAGACAACACTCATAACTTGGGTCAATGGTGCCTCGGGTAATGATGTCCGTTGCTGTACCTGTCCACATAGAATGCTTTATCAATATAATTAGTTAATATACAGTTTTTTTTAACAATATTATGATTAATAAAAAATCAAAGTCATATTAGCAAATATTTTTACCTATTAAATCGCTTGTACTTATTGTTGTGATGCTTGTTGAAATGGTGCGAACGTCTTTCATTCCGATATTTAAAGTTGCCTCCTCCCCAATGCAATTTGTTTTGTTTTTCCTGAAATTTTATGTATATTGGAAAACTGCAAAAGCCACTTTGTTATTGATTTATTTGTCTCAATTTTGTATTAATTACGCAAATTATATTTTTGCATATAGTGAATGTTATCTTTCAAGCAACGAATTGTCTTTTCGATATTGAACAATGTGGCTTTGTTCTAATCTAAATTATTATTAACTTTGAAGTCTAACCTGGAAGGGATTGTAGCCGTTCCTATTGTTATTGAACCGATTGAAGTGATGAAAATTTTTAACTTTCTTAACTCGACCGCGATCCATATCGTCGATCGACTCCGCGGCTCGCTTCCTTTCCTCGCGTCTTTCTTCAAACACCTGAAATACAATTTTAATAAAACAATTAGATTCGGGGACCTCGAGTGACAATAATACCACTGTAACCTCTCCTGGTCTATTTTTACCTTATTTTGCCGCGAAGGAATCGTGCATTCCGGTTAGAATGTAAGGACCGGCGTGTCTAGACAAATTACGTCTCAATCGCATCTACGTAGTTACGCGGCATTCATGTGACGGCGTCTATGGGTTGACACTTGATGTATGGTGCGGAGCGTACCTGGCGGGAGAGCGCGCTGTGTGCGCCGGACCAGGCGGCGACGGGCGCGCCGTACCCGCGGTGCGAGGCCGTCTGCAGAGCGCGCGTCACGGCGCCCGGGCTCAGCTCGCCGCGGTCGCTCAGGGGAGACATGCTGCTCACACTCGTGTGCGGACTCTGCTGCGAGCTCTCACCGCGCTCTTCCTTCACCCTGCAAGAGATTGTCAAACCAATTTTGAAATAATTACGGAAATTCTTTGCATGTGTTTATTTTTACTGCTTGGATGGACGAGCTCACAGCCCATCCGGCGTTAAGTGGTTACTGAAGCCCATAAACATCTACAACGTTAATGCGCCACCCACCTTGAGATATAAGTTCTAAGGTCTCAAGTATAGTTACAACGGCTGCCCCACCCTTCAAAACGAAACACATTACTGCTTCACGGTAGAAATTGGCAGGTTGGTGGTACCTACCCGCGCGGACTCATAAGAGTACCACCAGTAATTACGCAAATTATATTTTTTGCGGGTTTGATTTTTATTACACGATGTTATTCCTTTACTATGGAAGTCAATCGTGAACATTTGTTGAGTACGTATTTCATTAGAAAAATTGGTACCCGCCTGAGATTCGAACGCCGGTGCATCGCTCAAAACGAATGCACCGGACGTCTTATTCTTTAGGCCACGACGACTTCTGTGTAAAAAAGACCAGAATTACTTACTTTTTATTAGTGTCGCCGTTCAAACTGGGACTGAGGAGGGGTCCGCTTTTCTCGCTGGACACCGTCCAGGAGCTTTTCGTGGTGACAACGAGTCGCCGTGGAGACTCGCATCGGCTCGGTTTCGGTTTCCGTCCTGCTTCTTTCCCAGGGATCCTCTTGGTCGGATCGTCACCGTTCCGATCACCGCGTTCATCGCCACTAGACTCGGAGTCGTAAGGAACCAACCTTGAACTGGAGCTATCGTATTTCTGAATAAGTTCACCGCCATCGTTTTTGTTCATTTGTTCCTCTAATTTTTCAAGAGGAGATTTAAATGGTTTTAAGAGTTTGCTGATGGAAACCGGCTGATCAGCGACCTTTACATTGTTTGCGACTAATTTCATATTAGAATCGCTTTTACATGCTTTCGGTTTTATCTGTACATCTTCATTGTTTTGCCTTTTAATTACAAAACTGATCCGTTTTTCATCATCAACTTTCTGACCTTTATCAATGCCGTTAATTGTTTTTGGTGTCTGTATGACTTTTTCTATTTCCCCGTTTTGTTTCACAACCCAAGGTTCTGAATTAATGACATTTGAAGAGTTTTCGGAATTACTCAATGTACTGTTTAAAATTATCGGTTTCGGAGCTTCTGTCGAAGTGCTATTAAGTATAGGTTTCCTTTCATCGTTTCTGTAGAATGTAAGTTTTAAAGGACTTTTTTCTCTGTTGAGAATACTCTCTGGAAGTTGCGGGCCGTAAATCACACCCGAAGTCGTAGCCACAGAAGTGCATATGTCTTCGCTACTATTATCTTTTTCAAAAAACATTATATAGGCATTGGTTCCCAAAACTGCTGATAAAGGAAGAGGTCTCACACAGCTATCATCAAATTGATAATAGTTCCCATTGGGTGCTTGGCCTATGGCAGTGTAGTGTCCGCAATTTTGTGATGGACCAAGATGTGTTACTAAACTTACTAATTTATAAGACTGAAACAAGATAAATGTTCCTGTATTTAAATATAATACAACTGTAATAAAAACATACATTTTCTAATTGTTTAATAAATTTATATTCAATTTATATTCAACTTATTCATTGTTAGTTAGTTCTATGTTTCTCGTGACTTTAATCCAATTCAGCTGAAACTTTGTAGTTGTGGTGCTGTGTGGTAAGGTAACTAAAGTTCTTCTTAAGGAAATTTCTGGCATGTTATCATCACATAACCACCACATTAATTAACAAGACTATTAGTCTTGAGTGTTCAAGTCATGAGTACTATCTTGCTTTAAGTTGAATTAGAAAATTGTATTGTGGATTTCAATAAAATCATACCTAACTGAGATTTGAATCATAGACATAGCAAATAAAAATTTAGGCTATAATAGGCAAATAAAGTATATCATTCAATAAATGCTAACAATACAATATTTGAGGACAAACAAATGTCAAACATTATTTATTAAGAATGTAGATAATTAAAGATTATTTTTTATTTAAAATTGACTGAAATCAACTAGCTTGTTCCTTGAAATGGCCTTTTATTTTTAAAAAAATTGTCCATGCCCATTAATTCCATGTAAATTATCTTTGTATTACACAATAGTTACTATAAAGCTATATAGATTCAATGCCATTTAATAAATATGTCTCACCAGCTGTTGATGTGAGTGTTTGCTATAAATATATTTATTCAAACTTATTTTCTTCCTGAACTGCACATGTTTTGATAGTTTTCCTCCTGCCAGTGAAAATCTTTTCAATGCAATACACAAAACCATTGGAGCTCTCTCCACAAAAAACTGTTTTGTGGCTGATACCTATAAAATTGACATTAGTAACATTAGTACCAATAATAAAAAATTGACACTAATGGTCTATATGCCATTTGACTGTTATACAAGTACCTTTTTGTTACATGCTTCACATTTATAACCCAAGTCTTCCAACCTTTCTCTCGAAAAAAATGAGTCTAAAGCCTCATCCAATGTTGAATGTTTCCTTATATCTAGTAATAAATCCTGGAAATTACAAGTTACCAATATGTAATATTTAAAAATATATATAAGATTTGTAGTGCATGCACTGTTTTTTTTACTGTTGCTTGAAATAAGGCAATCTCACGGCCCTACTAAGGTTAAATGGCTAACATAGCATAAATTCTCCAGCCACCTTAAAACTTGAGGTCTCAATCTTATGGTAATTCGTGAATTATATATTTCGAAGGTTTGATTTTTATTACGCCTTTGTGGTCAAAGAAATTTATGAACACAAGTTAAGTATTTCATTAGAAAAATTTGTACCTGCCTCGTGGATTTGAACACTGGCATAGTCGCATTGCTTGATACGAGTACACCAGGAGTCTTATCCTCTAGGACGACGACTACTATCTAGGCCATGAGGAATTTTTTATTTGCATTTTATAAGAATGTTATTTTTAATTAATATATTGACTACATAGATATTTTCGAAAATTCAATAAGTTCTGTTATAACTTACAACAATATAATACTAAAGTAGAAATACAACATACAATACTAAACTAAAGACTAGACAATTTTTGTCAGAAAAGGTACCTGGAAATGCTGATAAGTAGTGGACAAATGATGGCAGGATAAGCAGTGTACTGTAGATCTTAGATACCCACCCAGTATCTGGTTCAGTGGAGTGGTCTCTTTACTATATTGATCCAATTTATCAGAATTTATGAACCGTAACAAATAGCATTTTTCCATTGCTTCTACTAAGTATCTGAAATAGCCATTCACATTTTACAAACAATAAACCCACTATATAAAAATAGTTCTAATGGCATTTCTGCTCTATATCTTCATTAATAGTTGAAGCTATTTTTGGTTGTTCAATGCACTTCAGAAAAGGTTTCATACTACTATTATGGTATAAGGACTAAGGACTAAGGTACATACGTGTCTTATTTCAATAAACGGGTGTATTACATTGAGGTACAGACAGCAGCAATTTATTAGTAAGTTATTCAAAAACTAAGAAGTTGACTGCAAATGCATAAAAATGAGTCTAACATATAATATCATATTGTCTTGAAGTTTTATTGTAGCATCAAGGCTTTTACTAAGCTCTTTAAATTATACTTTGGCACAATTGTAAATTGTATAGTTTTAAAAAACATGGGAATTTCAAGTCCTCACAGATTAATTAAAGAATACTAGGGTTGTAAATAAAAGATATTACACATTCTCAATTTTTACAGGTCAGCAAGCCACTTTTTGAAAGAGATAAATATTTTTTGTCATTAACCTACTGTATGTACAGACTGATTACCAATATATTCACAATGTTTCTTATTAGGGGATTTTAATCATTTGACATAGTTATAAATAGGTTTGAATTTTTCTGACCTTAGAAATTCATGTGCATCTTCTTGCCTTCCAGGAGTCAAATGTCTACAGATAAGGCGGAGTTTGGAATAAACTTGCCATGGCTTTATGGGAGCACCGCCACCCTTTTGTGTTGCCATCAGGCTGGCACGCATTCCGCATATTACACATGCCTCTGTAATTAGATAGTAAAAAATATGAACATCACAATTTTTTTAATGTAAGTTTTTACTATTTAGGCAATTATTAGTGTATTAACTGGATGGTTAAATATTTTATAACTAATAGTAACACAAACCTTGTTGATTACATTTTTCAGTATGAGTTGATTCAGACATCAACCAATTAGCTAATGCAGGAACATGGAACAGTGCCTGTAAGGTGGAATTCAGGTAACAGGTATTGCCCACATTTTGCATTCCAGCTCCTGCTGCCCATGGACTCTGCCAACCCAATTGCACTTTTTCAAGGGGAAACAAAATCCTTTTAGGCTTAGGTAAACCATCTTCAACAGATTTACTGTTCTCTAAAATGAAAAATAAAATTAGATGCATTATTTGATATTAATAAAAATAAATTAATAACAGTTACATATTGTAAGATATGTGTAATTGCATGATTCTAAATAAAACCAAAACAACTACACAGTATATATGGAGATATTTCATTTCTTTTCCTGCCTACGGCTGATCAGAAAAAGAAAGTGACCTTTAGCAGAAACAAAGTAATATAGGTAATAAGAATTACAGAACTTTTGGATCACCATTTGAACATTTTATTAAATTAAGAACACCTGGACCTTATAAATTATTTTCAATTATACTGGCGGTATAGCTGGTGTTCAATGCTAAAAGTTTATATTTTGAAAATATGTATAATACCATGCAGTCGTAGCCCTTTTGACAACTACTGAACAAAAATTATAACCAAAATTATAACCTCCAAATTAGATCTTATCTTGCGTATAGATAACAAAACAATAAATGTGAATAAACGTTTCAAATAATTGCACTTACCTAAGCATTGGCTGTTGCTTGCGCTATCTTTTTTAAAAGGTTTAGGGTCATGAATAGTTTTTTTTGGTCGAATAACCACGTACTTAGACTTGAGTCCATCAAGAACGTTACTTTGATAGTCGCCAGATTCTTCAAAGTCGATCTTAGATAAAAGAACACTTTTAGTCGAGGAATATAGACGGCTATCCAACAAGGATGAGCTTTGAGAATCGTCTTGAGTTAGAGATAAACGCAATGCGCTCGTTACTGGGTCGCAAATGGAAGCAGGCATTTTACCTCCAAAACTGCACTATCACGATATACAAATCACATTTATCATTTTCAGCTTCTTTGAAAATTATGCTGTTAGCTAGTAAAATAACGATTTAACCTTCTTTACTATTTTTTTAGTTGCATGTATGTTTTCGAAAACATTTATTTTTCAGGAAAGTAATCAACGCGCACGTATGCGATGTCAAAGACTACAGACCACAACACAGACATGACACAGACTCAGGCACCGCTTAAAGTTTTTTTTTGGTACAATTTTTCCTTATTAGGAAAGGCAAAGGGATCTAAGCTCATACAGCCTTATCTGTTCTAGATAATTCGCACAGTTAATAGACAGCCGCGATTTTTATTAAAAATCATTCAGAGGAACAAGCAAAGGAAAAGTACCCATACAATATACATATTGTGTGATAAGAGCGTGCAGCCATATCTCTAGACCAAAGATTATGTTTGAAAAAAATCAAATGAAACTGATTAAGTTAAATGTAGTAGTTCATCAGTTCAACAACAAATACTATTTACAAAGCTCTAATTTAGATAATGAGGCTACAAAATATTTATAAATTCAAGTAGCTACATAAATATAAATATGTAAATATGTATATAAATGCACGAATAGGTCGAAAGTCTAATTTGCCACAGTGATGCGCGTGCATCCCAAAAATGCACTTCTGTGCATGTTGTCATGGTCAGAGATCACGACTTGTGCTGATTACTATACTTAGAACCACTGTGTTCATTCACAGTACGTTTTCAGATCTTTCCTGCCATATACCATCCGGCTTTAGAATGAACTCCTCTATCCTGTTTCCTAAACGCTACAATGTTCTGTCTTTCTTCTGAGGAAATTAGCGGAGAGTACTCAATGGCAGGCTGTGACTTAGCTCTGCCCCTGCCATTGCTGATGACCGTGAGCAACAGTAACCATTAGGCCCACCTATGACCAATCATAAGGTATTCTTCCTACAAATACAATAAAAAAAACTCTAAAGATCTCTACAATCTTAATTCTTAATTTTAATTTAACGAAAAGACAAATCTGTATTTTCATTTATATTATATATTATATTTATATTTTTTTTGCATTGAACAGACTATTTAAAGTACCTAAATATTATATTAAAATATCCGGCTCTACAATGAACTCCTCTCCATGATGCTTCCAGAGCGCGATGACATGTCCTTCTCTAAACAAGGCTTGCGGAGAACACTCAATGGTAGGCAGCGACTTGACTGTGCCCCTGGCATTGCTGACGTCCATGAGCTATAGTAACCACTTACCATCAGGTGAGCCGTGTGCACATCTGCCTACAAAGGCAAACAAAAAATCTAGTATCACAGTGACTTATCCTATGGGTTATCTCTTTTCGAGTCGTGGTCGAGGCGGTTGGCCAACCCTACGTAGGGTCTACGGACCGTCGAGGCGGTTTAGCTGGTCTTTTATGATTGGGTGAATCGTGGCACAGAACGCCACACCTTTCGTCTGGTGCAGGTGCTGACCGGGCACGGATGCTTCGGGAAGTACCTGCACCGGATAGGAGCTGAGCCGAGGAGGTGCCACCATTGTAGACACGACCTGGACCCGGCGGAGCATACGCTTGCTGTCTGCCCCGCTTGGGAGGTGCAGCGCCGTGTCCTGGTTGCAAAGATAGGACTGGACTTGTCGCTGCCTGGCGTCGTGGCGTCGATGCTTGGCGGCGACGAGTCCTGGAAGGCTATGTTCGACTTCTGCGAGTGCACCATCTCGCAGAAGGAGGCGGTGGGGTGGGTGAGGTAAAGATCTCCTCACTAGGCAGAAATCCGCCACCGCCGAGCAAAGGGTCGGGACTAGGGTCCCATCCTGGCCTGACCTGGCCCCCTAAGAGCTTCGGGGTCCACCCGCTTTATGCGGCGTGGTACCCAGGCATGAGGTGGCGTGCTTTAGACCCTGCCCATAATAGGAAGCCGGGTGATGGTAAACCGCGTTCCCCCGACCGCTTCGGGGGAAGGTGCAGCGTGGCTGCCCAGGCTGGCAGGAGTTTTTAGTGAGGTTCAACTCCCACATACCCCACCCGCCGCGTGGATGGGTATCCGGCATTTTCTCATGTGGAAACAAAAAGGTTATTTTTTAAGCAAATGTGGGAAAATGAAAAAAAAAAGGTGCTGGACGTAACTTCTCGAGATCCTCCAAAAAGTCCACTGAAAAATCTCAGTAAATGACCACCTCATCTCATCTCATTTAATTTAATTTCATCCCAGTTGATTAATGTCTTAAATTAATCATCTTCATTTCATTTCACTCCATATTGTCATTTTTCATAAAAATATGAATGTAAATTAAAAAATACACGACGTAAAGGTCTTCGTTACCAGGTAATAATATCCCTTAGAAAAAAAAAGAAGCTCAGCAAGTGTTTTGGGTTTGATACCTATTTATGTACCTACGGATTTAATTATTTTTTCTTATTTGAAAGGAAGTCGAAATGCCTTCATAATAGCAATACAATATGAAGTTCATTACGGGATTATACATTATATTTTTTACAAGTAATGTACCTACATCAAATTAAGAAAATAAGTAATTTGTTTGTGTGATTAATTCGTTTTTATATTTGAATTTTCATCTATATTGTTACAGGAATATTTAACGTGTCATCATCTAGAGTTTTAGAACTAAGTGACAGATTTTTAGAGTTTAGCAAAGATGGAATGTGGTTTGTTAAATTCTATGCGCCTTGGTGTTCACACTGTCGGCGCATGGAACCTACTTGGGCGCATGTGGCACAAGCCTTGTATAATACTCCCGTAAAAGTAGCCAAAGTCGATTGTACCCGTTTTACAGCTGTGGCCTCACATTTTCATATCCGAGCTTATCCTACTATCTTGTTGTAGGTATACCTTTCATTATTTGCATGCAGATACCTATAACATTTCAATAATTAATATGGGGTACTTTTATGTTTTTAGTTTAAAAGGATCTTTTCAGCATGAATACACAGGAGATAGGGTTAAAGAGGATTTGATTAATTATGCAATGAGAATGTCACAGCCAGCAGTGCAGAGAATATCTCGTGGTAACAGCATTGAATATTTAAAAGAATCTCATCCTGTATTCTTTGGATTCATTGGCAAACAGGAAGGGCTTTTATGGGTAATAATGATATCCAATTTACACAACTACATACCATAATAAAATCCAAGAAAAATAATAATAATTTGATTTTCTAATTTGTTGACACAGGAAATGTTTACAATTCATGCTGAGAAATATCAGCCTCATTCCTGGTTTTATGCAATGACCCATGAAGTAATAAAACATGAAATCAAAGTTCCTAATGAAACAGCTATATTTGTTTATAAAGATAATGAAGCATTTTTCTTTGAAGGTAAATTAAAGTTCATCAAAAAATTCTTATCATTTGTTACATATTTTTGCTTGAACTAAAAATATTCACATGTTTAACAGTTAAAGATGAATTACTTGAAGACAAAAATATGTTAAACAACACCTTAGGCAAATGGATTAATTCTGAGAGATTTGGTTTTTTCCCCAAAATAACCCGAGCAAATATTAATAGTCTGATTGATACTGAAAAATATATTGTGATAGTAGTAGTTGCAGAAAATAAACTTGAAGAAATATCACAAACTGAAAGAGATTTTAAAGATATGGTAGAAGGAATTATAATGTAAGTTAAGTTTGTAATTATTAGTAATAAAAACATTAATTTCAAAACAAATTTAATACCCATTCATTATTATTGTTTTAGGAAAAGAAAAAATGAGCTACATTCCCATTTTCAGTTTGGTTGGATGGGTTCACCAGAACTAGCAAATTCTATTGCTATGTCTGAACTTACTGTACCTCATTTATTAGTATTAAACTCAACAACAAGTCATCATCATATTCCAGACGATGATCCAGTATTAATGACACCAGAAGCAATCTCACTGTTTCTTGATCAAATACACAACCAGCAAGCTACCGTTAGTATTAGAATATATATGTTTTATTAAATAACTAGCTTTTGCCTGTGACTTCATCTGCGTGGAATAGTTACTTTGGCATAATGCAGAATTTTACCCACGATTTCATTTACGTAGAAAGTGAAAATATTTTTGAATAATAGAATGTTAATGAGCTTAATTGAGAATGTTAATGTCTCACTCAGTCTCATGCGCTTGGATAATGCCCTCGCGCTCTTACCCACAGAGGTATTAAATTGAATTTAGGGGATGATTGGGCCTTTAAAGCGTCTGCAAAGCAATTCGACCGACGGAAAGTGTCTGGGAGTATTGGCGACTTATTTTTAAGGATATTGCCTAAAATATACTTAAAAATCAGTCATACCTTGAGTACCTGATACCTGAAAATTGGCCGTCTAAGCAAGGTAGCAGGTAGGCATGCGTTCTTAGCACATACTAACACTACGCAATCGGCCACATTTCGTTCGTCAGAAAATACGTGACGTCTGGGGGCCCTGGGATCTTGGACTAGAACACTCTGAGATCGTGGTCAATCTTCTTCTTTTTCTCCACCTTATCCCACTAGGTGGGATCGGCACAGCTAATTTTTCTCTTCCATTCTCTTCTATCAGCCGTCATCTCAACACTCACTCCTCTCTCTCTCATATCGTCATTCACACACTCCATCCATGTCTTCTTCGGTCGACCTCTTCCCCCTCTACCTTGCACTACCATTTCCATACATCTCCATTGTGGTCAATGAATGATAAAAAAATGATATTTTTTTGTACGTTATTACAAAGTTAAGTCGTACACTGTGTGCATTACTAATAAAAATCTTACGTTACGGACGTTTTTTCCTGGTTAGGGTACCTCTCCGCACCGTCCCATAGGAAACTTCGTTCCAAAAAAAAATGCATGACATAAATGTTTTAGGTATATGGTGGCAATGGCTGGCCAGTAAAACTATATAGAGGTTTCTTTGAAGCAAGAACTACATTGGCAAACATGTGGCATGGAAACCCTGTTCTAACAGCTCTTATCTTTGGTCTGCCACTGGGCTTTCTCTCACTGATATGCTATTCAGTGTGTTGTGCTGATATTTTAGATGCTGAAGACGAAGACACACCAGGTAAAACAAATCTGTACTTCCTAGGTTAATTTCCTAAGTAATCTTCACAACACTAATGCAATTGCTTGCCTCAATGGTCAAGAAGTTATTGACCTGTCTCCTTGTACCAAAGGGTCTGGGTTCAATTATTGGTTAGTCAGTCAATGCTAAAGATACTTTATAAATTAATTTAAACAGTAAGAGCTGGCATGATATACGTTCCATCAAGAAAGTGTAATATTATACAGCATGTAAATGAGGTTTCTCATCATGTAAATAACACGGTCAGGGGAAAATGTGTAGAAATTTGGTGAGGTATTTTACCATAAAATTTATTAATTATGTTTTTTATAACAATAAAACAAAAAATTATATCTTAGAAATATAATAAACGAAAATATTGTATGTATATATGTATGTATTGTATGGAAGAAAATAAAATTCAGTATCTTTACATTTCACATCATTCAGTTTCTTCTGTTTCTAGTGAAATGCTTTTCCTTTTTGCTTTATTATCGAGTTTTTTACTATCACCGACGAGACAAATGTTTGAAACGATACACAGCAGGAAAGAAGAAACACAGTTACACTGCTTCGGATATCGTGAAGTCTCCGTGCAATTTCGGGGAATCCCATAGTTCAAATAAAAGAGCGTTAAACCAAAACAGCGCTACACGAAACAGCTATAAGCGGGGTCTTAATGTACATTCAAAAATGGAAATGATAAAATTCTTTAACAATTATGAAATTTCCCATGAATTTATTAATATACGTTGGAGAATCTTTTCTTTATTGAATATTATATCGCATTTTTAGAAACTACTCACAATTATTCCTAAAACTTTCAAAGTAGCTATTTTAAGTTAATAATGTCTATGTCACATCCTTAAATAAAATTATTCAGTCTAACGGGATGTGAGTGCATATACTTAAAGTCATTTAACTCTGATATTTTCATACCATGATATATTTACAATGTTTAAGTAATATGGGCAGGACAAAATGGTGCAGCTTCCCATGCATAGGTACTCAAAAAAAAGGGTGCGTGTACTTATGTATGTGCGTAAGATGTACTTTTTTTTTTTAATATTATANTAAATAAAATTATTCAGTCTAACGGGATGTGAGTGCATATACTTAAAGTCATTTAACTCTGATATTTTCATACCATGATATATTTACAATGTTTAAGTAATATGGGCAGGACAAAATGGTGCAGCTTCCCATGCATAGGTACTCAAAAAAAAGGGTGCGTGTACTTATGTATGTGCGTAAGATGTACTTTTTTTTTTTAAATATTATAATATAATTAATAATAAATATTTAACGTTAATAATTTAATAATATTTAGTATGAATTATATTAAATAATAATTTTGTCATTTATATTACTAAATAATACATACGGATAGTTAACCTCAATTGTATTGGAGCACTTAGGAAGGTTAAAGGCAATAAAAAAAAATAAAAAACACGCCACGAGATTTCTGCGGTCTCCGTTGCGCCCGCCGCTCCTGCGTCTACTTTAAACGCGCGCAAAACCCCAGCGTCTTTTAAATTAAACAACATCCTCAAACACGCATATTGGACATCCCTTTTCTTGACATCGTATAAATTCGGTAATTCTCGGTACGCAGTAATGTGTCTCACACGGCAGCATTAGTGTCGTGTTCGTGTCGCTATCTCTGTCTTGAGTACGGGCGGCTACAAAAGCTTTCATTGATTTGTTATTATTATACTGTTTTTGTTTAGTGCTCAGTTTTTTGTTTAGTTTTAATATTGTTTGTGTTTAAATTTGTTTTAGTCTTAAGTGTCCCTTGGCATTTATACTATTCGTTAACAAAGATGCCACCAAAGCATAATAGTGTTTTAAATCGTCGGCCGACAAACATAATTTTTGATTGTTTTTTTTTAAAGTAAAATTAGAAGGCGTAAAAGATGTTGAGAGTTTTATTTAGAGTTGCTAACGCAACTGGTGTACCGCAACGCACAGTACAGCGGATCGCAACTGAAGGCAGTATTCGGGCTTACTTTCGAATTAATTTAATTACGTTATTTTTACAGCTTTCTGTCTTAATTTATTATTCTTTTATTATCTCTCTTTAATTTATTACGTTATTTTTATAGCTTTCTGTCTCATAGTGATTTGATATTCATTTTATCTGTACTTGGTATATGGAAATTTTAATTCGTATTTTGATTTAAAAAAATGAATGCTAATAACACATTTTTTATGAGTGTACATGCGCGAAAGTTCACCTGTGGCTATATTCAGACTCGCCAAGTTACGTCGGTCGTATTGTAATGAGCGATTTAGTGGGGAACTTCATTTCTGTTAATTAACGTTGTTTGTAACGTTGTCTGTTAAGTAACGTTGTTGTGTAACGGTGCGCGCGCATCGTAAAATTTCACTCTCATAAATTTTTCATAACGCGCCTAAAGAAGTATAACTTCAATAAAAATATTTGGGGAAAAAGCCATGGAGACTTTATGGACCGAGTAGAAATAGTAGTAACATTAGTTAATCGGAAGTTGTATACCTATGTTAAGCTAACATAAATATTAAGTGCTTAGTCATATATTCTATATAAATTAAAAATATTATTATTTTCAGAACTACACGAGAAAAGGGACTAAATATTGTGTTCGGAATCATAGTGGGGACGGCATGTTGGAGCCATCGCAAAACTATGAAGTAGGTACCCAAAAATGTTGAGTTCTCCGACATGGATATTTTTCAAATAATTTCCCAACATTGCGGAACTGAATTGTAGACAGTATGTGAATGATTTCTTAAAACTCCCGCCTAATGTTTATGTCCCTAACCCGATTCAAATTCGAAACATTTATACAATTATTTCATAACAAAGCCTAATCTTAATTTACATCCTTTATTGCATATATAATTTTGTTTGTGGATAACTTGTCTAGAATCTTCGATCAACAATAGTGACTACACTCGCGAGCAAAAGTTTGGAATCACTTACTTGAAATTGATTCCGCGCGATCTTGTGTACTAAATATTTTTTTGATAATCATAAAAATGAGATCATTTTAAAGGTTGAATTCCTAACTTTAAACTGATACCAAATTCATTAAAATCAAGCCAGTATTTAAGAAGTTATCTTGGATTAAGTGAAGGAATAACGAAAAAGACGTGTTTCAATTGCTTGATACGTCGCGAGTTGCGGCCTACTGACCCCTATAAAAGCACCTGTTATCGGATTTTCTTTATCAGTCGACTTTCACACGTTGACTGGTACATATCTCGGCTACTTTTGACCCTTTACCTTGTACGACAATTGGGACAACACCTACAGAAGTAGCACAAATCGTAGCCCTATTGCAAGAAGAGCTCAGCCAGCGGATTGTCGCTCGTCGGCTCCAAATAAGCCATTCCTGTGTTTCAAAAGTTTGCAAGCGCTTTCAAGAGACTGGTAGCTTTATCCCGAGACCAAGATCTGGACGGCGCCGGGGCACATCGGAGAGGAATGACCGTTTTATCGTGTTAACCTCTCTCCGAAATCGGCATTAACCTGGTGTCGACGTCCAACAGGAGCTCCGAGATGTTCGTAGGGTAGCAGCTAGCAAGTAGACAGTTCGTCGACGACTCAAGCAAGCGAATCTGACTCCAAAAAGGCCTGTCACAGGCCCGAAACTCACGGTAGCTCATCGACAAGCACGCCTTCAATTTGCTCGTACCAATCTTAATTGAGAGGTTGAGCAATGGAGGCAAATCCTGTTCTCCGACGAGAGCAGGATGTGTTTGCATGGTAGCGACCGAAGAGGTTGGGTCTACAGGCGGCCTGGGGAGCGATTTGCGCAGTGCTGTTTCGCTGAAACAGTGGCTTATGGGGTCGGCTCTTGTATGATGTGGGCCGGCATTTCCTTCGACGGTAAAACCGAGCTTGTTTTCGTGCCTGGCGGGGGACGAGGAGGCGGTCAACTTCGGACGGGTACATTTCCAATATTCTGCTGGAACATGTCGTTCCCTATGCGGGATATGCCGGTGATAGCTTCCTCCTTAAGCACGATAACGCTCGTTGTCACACTGCCCGTGGAACAACTGAATACTTCGAAGAAGTCTATATCGCCACATTGGACTGGCCTGCGCTCAGCCCTGACTTGAATCCTATTCAGCACGTGTGGGATGAACTGAAGAATAGGGTTCGTTCCAGAACTTCTGCTCCTTCATGCCTGAATGAGCTGAAATCGGCGTTGATTGAGAAGTGGGAAGGTATCCCACAAGAATCAATTCAAAAGCTGATCAGGTCTATGAAGAATCGTCTTCGAGGAGTTATTAGGGCAAGGGAAGGGAACACAAAGTACTGACATTTAATTTTAAGGCTAAATAAAATTTTTATTTATTAATTTTTGTTGTTTTATGCATTCATTATTTTTCCATATTTCCTTTGTTTCCTACCTCCTTCACTTAATCCGGAATAGCTCCTTAACTACTGGCTCGATTTGAATGAATTTGGTATCAGTTTAAAGTTAAGAGTTCAACCTTTAAAATGATCTCATTTTTATGATTATCAAAAAAATATTTAGTACACAAGATCGCGCGGAATCAATTTCAAGTAAGTGATTCCAAACTTTTGCTCGCGAGTGTAGATAAAGGGACACGTACAAAATCAAAGCAAAAACTGTCCGCGTGAATATACACATACATAGCTACATTGATTTACAACAAACGGAGAAAAAAGTTTTGAAACAGTTTTAAGTTCAAACTAATTACAACTTTGGCACCTAGTAATAAAGTCCCAAATCTCCAAAACATTATCTAATACTTACGATCATTCGTCACAAAGCAATAAATTACTCCTGTCACTTAAAAATGAAAAGACATATGTTAAACAACCTTTAATGTTAAATCAACCTTAAATACCAACCAATAAAGTAATTTTTTCCGTTATAGCTTTGAGAACTAACAACATTTTTTTAATTTTTTTTGCTTCTTGAAATTTCGATTTCTATTTACTACAGGAGGTAAGGGAGTCGCGTCGAACAATAAAATAATTTATTAGATTAATAAAAGTAATAGTTTAGTTGTTTACTTTTTATATTTTTAGAATTTATGTTTGTTAGTATCTATACATTACTTATTATTTTATGAGCGCTACGTTTTGTGTAATACATATTTTTATAGTATATTTTTAAGTTTTCGAGACTAGTACACATAATAAAAAAACGTTTAAACGGTTTTAAGCGCGATATTTTTATTACAATGCTTCGGCCACGTTTCAGTAGCCATGAGCACGGAAGGCAAAGATGTCCAGTGTCAATGAGTCGAGTTTTTAGCTTGGTTATAAAAGTAATCTCTTCTTTCTCTGGCGACAATCGAGATCTATTCCGCACACGTGATTGCTAGGAAAGCTAAGTATCTAATAAGAGTCCAACAAACAGACACAAAAGCAGCATTAACCAATTTTGAAGTACTGCTAAGAAATTTTTAAAAATTATTACAACACAAATCTACTCTATGCATTTACTCTTCTGTTAAATAAAAGTTTGTCCAAGTGTTGGCGAGCCTTGGCCAACTTTTGTAGCGGTGGTTAAAATCGGTAATTTTGTTTAAAATTTAATATTATTTATTAGCTTAAAGCTTAAAATATAACTTATACTTCATGTACTTACCGAAAGTAAGATACTCCGGCCGTTAAATTGCTATTTTGGGCATTTTTTGCAACTTTTGAATATACACTGCGGCATTGTGAGACGGGTTGACATTGACTGTGTCTGAAGTGAATAAAATAAGAGCTCACATTTCAAGTGAGCTGTTATTTAACGAGACGGATTTTTGCGCTGACCCGAAATCTAGTTAGTATTGTTGATCAAAGTCTAGAATATATCAAAAATCAAATAAATATGTACAGAATGAGATGTGTACAAAAATAATTATTTCATGTATTACCAAAAAATTTGGAATAGGGTTAGTGACAAAAATGTTATTGATTTATGTTGTCGAGTTGTTGACAATCATGAGTTGACCGTTGCACAAAAATTTACCTGACGACAGTTAACCCCTTGTAACTCATAATCATAAATTACGTTGAAATACTTAAGTATATTTATTTTATTTATTACACTTCATGTAAAATTTACATTGGCGGATTTAATGCCTAAGGCATTCTCTACCAGTTTCAATGATATATGAAATTATTTAATTAATATATACCTACATACCTATATGAAATTACTCTGACATATTCTCTCAATCACTTGATTCTGAACTCTCTGAACTATCTTGTAAGTTTATAATGATTTTGTCCATCATAGTATCAAATCTCATATCAGTAATGACAGCAAGCGCCCCCGCCTCTCCGTCCCACCGTACACATACTTATGGCGCGGTCAACTAGTTCCGCACGCACAATACGAAAAGGAAATAAGTATGGTATTAGTGACATTTTTAGAATTTTGATAAAGTTTTTTTACAGAAATGTTACAAGGGGTTACGAAAAGCGGTAAAGATTTGGACGTTTTGGAGTTCGGTACATCTAAGGAAAAAGTGAAACTGTAACGCAGCGTTCCCTTTCGCGGGGCAACAGTAGCCAAAGGGGATGTGACTCAGGTCCGTGCCCCGACGACCCACGCCGCGCTACCCGCGCCCGCGCATCTTGTGCACTCCCTATTAGTGCGTGCCAGACTGAAGCGGCAAACACGCGTCCCCGGTCGATACCGGAACTGACAACCCGAGAGTCGGGCACCCAACATTAAAAAACTCTTTTGTAGCTAATTTCCGTTGTGCGTTTTGTTCGTGTGTTGCTCTAGAGAAGTATGTAGTTAAGAAAGTTTTGATTTAATGATACTAAATATTACATTGTTTTCAATTGCATAGATGGGTGAAGAAACTCATTTTCCACCGTGTAGAACATGAGTTTCTTGTCGTAAACCTTCGCGATTCTATATTACGGAAATAAAGCCAAAACGCGGCGCCGGTAAAATACACGGTATGATTCTACACTCAAGTTTCGGGGAAGGTTTGCGGTTTAAGGTACAATCCACGTGGTAGTATGGAAACCTTCAGAGATGATTTATTGAAAAACTAACTTTACTTTGGAGTCAGAAAATATATCCCATACATTTTCTGCGTAACCTTGCCTCTTGTAAAATTTCATGATTCTATATCAACAGAAACTACCCTATATTATGTGGATCTTTATGAGTGACGAAACATGTCTTTTGATTGGGATATTGTGATTAGCTTACTTCCGTCGTAGAACTTAATTTTTTGTACTGATTTTGACTTGCTACCTGTAGGTACCCGTTCCTGAAAAGAAACGGCTGTTTGACATACACAGGAAATCAAATTAGGTAATAGATAACTTTAAGTACCTACCTATAGATAATGACTCCGATTTTTGCATTTGAAGGCCGGAACCCTAGAAATGAATTGTCGTTTTAATCTACTTTGGAATGTCTTTAAAAGTAAAAGAATCAACTATAACTTTTTAATCAAGGATACGAAAACGTCATGAAAAGACACCAAGAGGATCTAGGAACTTCTGAAACTAGGTCCTTCAATGTTGTCAACGTCAGATGAGTAAAAAGATTTATGCCCTACACGAAAGGACAAAAAAAACACCTCAGTTTGCTCTCGGCAAAGACAGACATTTGATAGTGATGATAAAGTCACTTGTTTACGTCAGCAACGCCAGTTAAACCAAATCTACATATTCAGACTCTAACTCTCGTTTGAAGGTGAATATGAGTCGTCTATTATCAAAGGTGGCAATCTGTGCATTTGGACAAAAAAATGTTATTGATATGTCAATACAGATTGGTTTGAATATAATTGTCTCCTTCAAAGAATACGGTTCAAAACCTGCATTAAATAAAGGTTAATAGTTAACCTGTTATTTATCTAAGATGTCGTTCCGAAGAGTTTTGTGATTGCCAATGGAATACAAAGTCAATAATTCGTTTTTCTGATTTACCAATAATTGTCCAAAAGTCAGATTGCCGGCTTTGATAATAGTCGACTCATATGAAACATTGTTAATTCTTAAGGAACCTAATAGTGTAAGACTAAAATGATCCGTAAAAACAATGTTAATGGGCACACTAATTAGAAATTTCCACTGACACTGCTCCATACTAAATTGTTACATTTTCAATAATTAATTTTACTGTATTCATTGAAAAATTTTTATTTATTTACAAATCAAATAAACAAATAAAATACATTAGTAAATTAATTGGTATTTTATTTTTATTGTTATATTAGTACATCCTTGAAAGCTCATCAATGTATACGGAAAATTCAATGTGCCTCATGTAATTTTTTAATGTATTATACCAAACAGTGTAGCCATATTCAACTTTCGTGTTAATAGTTTCTTCTAGATCACAGACGGATTTCGTTTTTAAAGAATGGTTAGATGATTTCTTATTTCTAATATCATTCTTATTCAGAATTTTTGTTTCATTTTGCATCATATCTTGAACTACTGCTTTAATTTCTTCATTTTTATCTGATAAATTTCCTGTTGTATTTTTGGTTAAAGATGAATCTTTGTCATGATCACAGGCCCTATATTTATGTTTGTATTGTTTTGCACCAGATCTTTTTAGTTTTGTTTTACCAAAACATATAGGAAGCCCTGATTCAAGCATGGCTTTGTTTATTAAATTTTGATTGTTTTCCTCTTTGAAGAATTTATCTTTTGTTTTAAGGATTTCTATAATTTCTTCTTTCTGCGCGCCATTATGTTGAATAATTTCATTGTCTTTATCTATTTGTCCTTTAATTTGTTTGTCTATGACACCATTAGTAGATGTAGAAGGTATGTTGAATAATTCAAGATCATTTTCAACTTTCAAGGGCAATTCATTCATAAAGCTATAGGGAACTTCTTGAATGGTTTCTTTTTCTTCTTGAAATGAATTAACTAAGTTGGTAAATGATTCTATCCCATATTTATTTGATTTATCAACTGGGTCATTATTATTTTTTAAATAACACACTTGTAGTTGTAAATCTTTTTCAGTCAGTAATCCCCACAACTCCCCGTGTCTTTCATTTTTCTCTGTTTTCAAATGTGATTCTAATTTTTCACAATTTTCCATCGAATTATTTTCTCGATTTCCTGTATTAAAAATTTCGTCTGTCCATAAATTAGTAAGATTGAATGTAGGAGTTAATAAAGTTAACATGTTCTTAAAGTTTTGACTTTCTTTACCTTCACTAATTATTGTGACTGCAATCCCATAAGAGCCAAATCTGCCTGCTCTTCCAATCCTATGCAAATATGTTTGCCATTCAAAAGGAGGCTCAAAGTTTATGACTAGATCAATATTAGATCCATCTATACCTCTGGCAGCCAAGTCTGTTGATATTAATATCCTGCATTTGTATTCTTGTAATGTTTTCAATGCATTTAACCTATCTAGTTGTTCTTGTTGACCATGTAATAAACTCACTGGCCATTTAGATTTTTTTAATAATCTATGAAGTTCTGTAACTCTTGCTTGATAATTGCAAAATATTAAACACTGTTTGAACTGCATTTTGGATAAAATTAAAATCAATTGTTCAAATCTGTTCTGAGTTTGTTTTACTATGTTGCTATTGTACTTCACTATAGTTACTTTCTGTGTAATGCCTAATAAGATATTGTTACTATCTGGACAAATGTGTTGAGCATTTTTTACAAATTTACAAATGATTTCCTTGCAATGTTCTGGATAAGTGGCACTACTCATAATAACTTGTTTATGATTAGGTAAAGCTGAAAATATATAGTTTATATCATTCAGAAAAGGCTTTTCTACCAGTTTATCACATTCATCTAACACAAAGAGTTGAACATCAGATAAATTAATATGATTTCCTACAATAAGATGTTTTAGACGACCTGGACTGCCAACAACAATGTGTACTTTTTTCTTAAACTTAGCTATGTCTTCATTTACAGATAATCCTCCCATTACAACTTCGACATTCAGACCTGAAACAATTGGGATAAGTTGTTTGTTGAAACAGTGAAAAACAATAAATTGTGTTAGTTACATCTTATATGCTTATTTATTCTTATGTTGGAAAGACCTAAGGCATCATTTTCATTGAAATAGTTTGCTTATATCCCAACATAGGCTAATAAGTCTTGTTGTTTGCTTAAGGCATATAAATGTTATAGTTTTATCTATATAGATATTAAAAATTATATGTTTCTTATTTGATCATCCCAAAATTGCTAAGAGGATTGGATGTATGTGCAGAAATTGACATGACCCAAGGAATGCCAGATATATCTGCTATAGTGAACACAATAGTTTGTTTACTGGTTTATGGTTATGTATAAACTGGATCTGCAAATCATCTAATAATTTATGTACTAGAGAATAATAGAAGCAACTCTATTCCAATTAAATGTTACATGTTTTAATTAATCCCAATTAATAACATAATAATAATTTATGAGGCAGCATCTAAGCAATAAAAAAAAAAAAAATCAATTTAAAAAAATCATTAAATAGCAATCAACTTACCCTTGTGGTGTGATCCTATTTGTTTAATAACATCACATATCTGTGCTGCTATTTCTCGTGTAGGTGTCAAGATCATTACTTGCAAACCATTATTAAGATTTAGTTTTTCTAATGCTATTATAGAAAACACAACAGTTTTTCCAGTTCCAGACTTTGCTTCTAGTAACAAATCTGTAACATAGAAACAATTCATTTAGCAAAGATTCAGCACAGCTTTTTGTCCTTATCCCAATATGTGGGATCAATGCGGTATGCCTCCTTTTCCATTCAAGCCCATCATCTGTCATCTCTGCATTCCCACCCTTCTCTCTCTCAGATCCTTTTTCACACAGTCCATCCAAGTATTTTTAGAATGCCCCCTCCTCACATTACTATCTACCATTGATTACAAAGGTTAAAACACAGCATTTACACAAATAGTTACAGTAAAGTTTGGTTTCTAGTGACTCTTGTGACATTGATGATGGTAATAGTAAATTGGCATCAAAATTTACTGCACACAATATGCAGAAGAGGTGATGTATCTACTGACTTGTCAGATGCAGCAAGATGATGGTAATAGTAAATTGGCATCAAAATTTGCTGCACACAATATGCAGAATGAGGTGATGTATCTACTGACTTGTCAGATGCAGCAAGATTTCCATAAAGTATTAAGTGTTTATTTTGGCACAGATGCTTAGTTGCTTTCCTTAAAGTAATGGAAGCAGTAAGTTTTTATCATGTTATGTTATGTCATGTTTCATATTAAAAATAAATTAGTTCAATAAAAAAAATCCACAAGCCTTGCAATGATTACTTACCGAAACCACATTTGCCTAGTGGGACACCATGAAGTTGAATTGGAGATGGTTTTTGGAACCCCGATGATATCAATCCTGCTAGTGTAAATTCTGAAAGAAGCATGGAAGTGAACGTAACATTTTCCACTATTTGAACATCACGAGTCCTTGTGCTGTTTCTTATATCATGAGCTAAAGACATAACGGCAATTCAGATAGCCTGCTGTCTTTAAAAAGTGGTTGATTCGATTCTGAAATATTGGATGGTTCCCAAGAGTTCTTTGGCTTTTTTCTTGAAATAATTTTCTATTTAGTTTAAATGAAATGGTTGGATGTGGTCAAAGCAATTGTAAAGATACTCTTTAAAAACATTGAGTGTTCTAGCTTTGGGAAATAGCCGGTTTTTTTAAGGGATTTTATGACCTGGTAACTGAGACCTTTAAGTCATGTCTTATTTTAATTTATATTTGTATGAAAAATGATATTATGAAGTGAAATGAAATGAAGATGATTAATTTGAGGCATTAATCAACTGGGATGAAATTAAATGAAATGAAATGGGATGAAATATAATCTCAGTAAAATGGTGGTCATTTACTAAGATTTTTTCAGTGGACTTTATGGAGGATCCCGAGAAGTTACGTCCAGCGGTTTTGTTTCATTTTCCCACATTTGTGCATTTTCACAGATATTAAACAGTTAATAAACCACCATTATTACACATTTAAACCCGAAGAAACACTAAATAGACAAAATAAAACAAGTCACTTAACTTCACTCCTCGCGTCCCGCCAAAAATTTTTTTGTTTTTCCTTGTTAGGAAAGGCAAAGGGATCTAAGCTCATACAGCCTTCCGCCAAAAAGGCTGTATGGGACCAAATAACCGGTAGCGGTACTACAGCCAAAGATTATTATACACTAAACTACGGCCATCAACAATTTTTTTTTACGGCCAATGGTGACAAGACCTTATAGCCTATCTTAAATTAATTTTCACGCACGGAGTACGAAAAAATTTACAAATGGTTACATAATCAAAACAGCATCAAATTGAAGTATTTGCAATTGGTGTTTAACATTATTCTTTGTTTTTAAACATTACCTATTGTGTTAACAGTATATCTATAAATTGGTTTGAAATACAATGGGTTTGATAAAATTACTTCTAAGTCCATTCTTACGCCTGTTTGTAAAGGCGAGTCACCTTTACAAGCATCGTCCAGCTCAGACACTAAAATTAATCTATTTACATTAAATTTATAACATTTCATAACAATATGTTTCAGATCAGCATTAATATTTCATTGACACAAAATTTACAGTTTTTGTCCGTTGATAAACAAAGTTTAAACAAATGAGCAGGAATGATTCTGCAATGACCGAATCTTAATCTATTAATGGTGGTAATGAATTGTCTGGAATTATCTATAAATTTGTTATACCAAGGTACATGTGGCGGGGTATTCTGTATCTTTGTATACCGTTTCCCTTTTTCTTAACATACAGACTTCGTGTTCATACCACAGGGTTTTAACATTTTCCAATATTTTCTGCTGGAAGTCAGTAAACGGTAGTTTCGTTACATTAGTGTGGTCTTCATCACATGCACCTCGCACTGCACAGTCTACAGCTTCATTGCGAAAACTACTACAATGAGCAGGTACCCATTTAAATTGGACATTCTTTCTGCTTTCTTTTAATTTTGCCAATATTTCTTTTATTCTATAAATAATACAGTTCATATTAAATCTAAAAGGATCACTTTTTGGTGCTAACAATGAACTTTTGCTATCTGTTAAAATTAAAAAGTCAGAATTATTTACATTATTAAAAAAGTGCTGTATAGATAGCGTAGCATTCAGCAGTAAAATACTGCAGTGACTGTCTAGCTTGAAGCATCTAGATTTCTTCAGCTGTGGATCTTAAACAATAAAATTTATTTTTTGATGATTCAATGGCCTTGGTACGAGACTTTTAAGTTAAGTCGCTTATTTTCAAATACATATTTTATTAAAGTATGAAAAATGAGATGAAGTTGATTAATTTGAAAATATAACAAATTGGGATTATGTATATTAAATGAAACATCTCGTTCTCATCGTCTGGGATGAAATAAAGTCGTAATAAAATGGTGGTTATTTACTGAGACTTTTCAGTCAATTTTTTGGAAGAACCCGAAAAGTCATGTCCAGTGACTTCGTTTCATTTTGCTACACTTATATACATTCACAAATACTAAGCAGCTAACTCAGCGGTAGGCACCGGCTTAGCTCTGCCTCGTCATTACTGACGTTCATGAGTAACGATGTCCAATCACCATCAGGTACGCTGTACGCTCGTCTCAGGCCTGGATTTAGAAGTCTGGAGGCCTCGGGATAACAAAGAAGCGGAGGCCCCCTGGCCCCAAATTGTCTTCCAAACAAAATGAACAATTTTTTCCTCTGTTGCCCCAAACCTCTAGACCTTTAAATTCGGCCCTGGTCCACGGTTATTATTATTATAATTATAAATTAAACAGGCACTGAATGTGGCTTTTCGGGATCTTCCCGATCTTCCAAAAACTTTGATAAACTCTTTGTAAATTCCTAATATGTAATTGAATAAATATTTCATTCCTCTTCCAACACCATATTAAGGTATTAACTTATCTCTTATTATTCAAATCATTATCAAAATCAATCAAGCGTCAGTTTTGGTTCCAATTTTTCTAACTGTTTAAGCACGGTTCCCTTTGCTCTTAGAATGCATGAATCAAATAAAAAAGTCTATGGCAAAGTGTTTGTGAAATGGCGAAGCTGTATTTCTAAAAGATCAATTTAATTTTTTAGCAAATGTCGCTTTACTATGTTGATGTATGATGTAATTTTATAAATATAATATAATTTGATAAAAATTGGCACACCAAATTCATTACAAAGAGTTTGCTATTAATGGACAGAATTTATAATATGTGAAAAGGAACAATTTGATAAATTTTAAGTATTGGTTTACATTTTTCAGACTTATATTTATTTACAGGTAATTAGAGAATGTTTTTAAATAATAAAATAACCAGTGAATTAATTTTTAAATTATATGAAATAATAAATAATTCGTTTTTGGTTTTAATGTTTCATTAAATAATCATTGAATAAATCAAAAATAGGTCATGTAAAAGCAAATCTTATACATTGGCCATATTACATATCCAAATATACACATTAAAGTGCATTTTTTTATAAAACCAGTAAATCTTGTCAAAAAAAGACCAAAAAAAGTGATTGATAATTAAAATAAAAATTATTATTAAAATCTAAACATTATATTAGAATAATTATCATAATCATAAACTTATAATGGTAAGAGTTAAATAACCAACAACATTACTAAATTAATTATTTAATTTTAATTTTTTATGAAATACAATTCACTGTGCACTTAATATAAATTTCACTTTATTATTATTATTTTATATAAATAGCTATTATTATCATAAAATTAACACTCGAAACAGCTTGACATTATAATGCCATTTGTCAATGTTTGGCCTTAGCATTTTTATCCTGTAAATATTCCCTTATTTTGCCATCTCTATATATATGTAGAGAGAGATAAAGTTATAACATTTTAACTAGATGTGTCAATGTAAAATAGTATTGTACAAAATTATAATTTACTATAAGGTGGCCAAAACTGCAATAAGACAGGTAAACAAATTATGGAGGGATTGGAACATACTCAAGAAGATGAAAGTACAAAGTGTTGAGACAGTCATTTTCCTAATCTTTTTGGATGCTGCTGAGACTTGGACCTTAAAAGAGTCTGACAGATGATACATAGACGTGTTTGAGGTGTGGTGCTGGCGGTGCATGTTGCGCATCCCTTGGAGGGCTTTCTGGACGAACGCTTCCATCCTGAACAAGCTAAAAGTTGACCAGAGGCTATCCACCATATGCCTATATAAAGTGCTGCAGTATTTTGGTCATATAGCAAGAAAACCCTCTGACAACCTGGAGATACTCATAGGGATGGGTAAAGTGGATGGAAGACGATTCAGAGGTTGGAGCCAAAAAAGACCCGACATAAATTGTTACAAATCACAAAAAAGGTCACAGATGGGCTCATCAGGATACTCAGCAATGAGAAATTGATTGAAGCAGGAGGAGGATAGAGATTGAGCACTATCTTCGTGCATGATACAATTGAGATTTTATTCTGTGTGAATAGCTAGAAACAGTTAAATACAAATAAATTTACATTATTAAGGATACTGAAGAACTATAAATATGAGGCATGATCAAATAACATAGTTAATGTATAAAAAATGGGTCTCTAGTGTAAAATAATTTAGAGACTAGATGCAGCTAAAATGAAAAGTATTGTGTGTATATTTATAAGTTATCTAAATGTTTTCAGGAAATGGCAGTGAATAACAATGGCACTAGTGTAGCCAGTGGCACATATGACACAAAAATAGCGGGATTATATGACTTACTTGACACTCTTGGTTCAGGACATTTCGCTGTTGTAAAGCTAGCTAGGCATGTCTTTACTGGAGAAAAAGTTGCAGTGAAAGTGATTGACAAGAGTAAATTGGATGATGTATCAAAGTCCCATTTATTTCAGGAGGTAATGTTTTTTATTTCACAGTCACAAAACATTTCATTCGCAGCTAAATGGTTAAATTAGAAACCTTTATAGTATGTAAATCATCTTAATGATTTAAACATTTTGATGGGGTTTTCTGAGTATGAGTTAAATGTTTTTAAAAAAAAAAAAAAGAATAGTATGCAATCTTCAATTTTCTGATTGCATGCATACATTCATATACTGAGCCTTGTCTCTGAGTCTTGCTTTTTGCCAATTTGTTTTAACTTAATTTTTTTTATATATACCAAATATATTATATACCAAAGTACAGTTCTGTCAGTCATAAAAAATATACTCAGTGTATGTGGGAAATTCACATATTCACTCATGTGAGGAATTCACATAATATATAGCACACATGTGCCATTCATAAATTAGATTACACGAATTTTAGGACTTATTTATTTTATGTTTGTATTTAAAAATAGTCAAAAGAATAACTTTTTAAGATGTTCTTATTTTTATTAAGTAATCTTTAATAAAATCCCTCTCTAAGAGCACTCGGCAATGACTTGAAACTTATTTAAACCCGTACCATTCAGAATTTTTGTGAATTTTAGTATCTCATTTGCATTAGAAAGCAGCTCTTGAGGTTGGATGTGGTTACCTGAGAGATAAATTCATAGGGTGCTAAAGCATTAATAAACATAGGTCAAATTAGTAAATTTTTAAAGGTTTTTATTCACATATAAATTTCTCATTTTGTGTGAAGTCACAAAGCGTTTGATGCCCCAGCTTCTTTCTTCTCAATGTCTCCCCCCTTTAACGTATGATAACAATTTTATTGTCTTGTGTCCTTGTCAAATTATTCCAAATACAGGGAGTACTTATTAATTTCAGATTTTGTTTTACAGGTTCGATGTATGAAATTGGTTCAACATCCAAACGTCGTACGCCTATATGAAGTAATAGATACACAAACTAAGCTATATTTAATTTTAGAATTGGGAGATGGTGGTGATTTATATGACTATATCATGAGACACGAATCTGGTCTTTCTGAATCTCTAGCACGTGATTATTTCAGACAAATAGTTCGTGCAATCTCGTATTGCCATAGGTTTGTATTTTAAACTTATAAAAAAATTGTTTCATAGGTTACAAATTAACATACACTTGGTTTTCTATGTCTGTGTAAATTCTCCTGACGCCTTTATACCTTCTAATGAGAATCATACTTAACACATGCTTATGAATGCTTTCCAAGATGAAAGAATAATATTTGGTAATAAAGACCAAAACCCTCAAATCATAATTTACCGGGTGTGCTGTGAGCTAATTCACCAACCTAAACAAAAAAAAAAAAACTTGAGACATAAAATAATTGATTTATTTTATCATTCGAAATATAATCTGAGTATCATCCTACATTGCTTAGTATTAGGTCTGAAGTATAAATAGTGACAGATTACATTTAATTGCCTAAAGGTTTCATTAGTATTCATTTTCCACTAGGTTTAACTGTATTAGAGTTAAACATATTGTATACTGAGGCCTTAAGCTAGGATTTTATCCTCTGTTGTAAATACTGGGTAGACATGAACGTCAGAAACAAGCATACCAAATGTCTTATATAAGTAACTCTGACACGAAATCGAACTCAAATTCTTTAGTACCATAGTCAGAGACATTAGGCATTAGCCTGATGCAGTAATATAATGAAATCTATGAAAATTTATTAATTAATCTATACCTAAGCTATGAGACTGATTCACATATCAGCAAAAGCTGCTATTTTCCTATTCAAAATAATTAAAAAATTAAAGGCATGCTAAAATTGCTTTTAAATACTGACATAATATAATCAAATATATTTGTAGTCTTGTATAAAGTTTAAAAAGTTTAAATTTTTTGTTTTTCAGATTACATGTTGTTCATCGAGACCTCAAACCTGAAAATGTAGTTTTTTTCGAAAAATTAGGACTAGTCAAATTGACTGACTTTGGTTTTAGCAATAAATTTTGTCCAGGTCAGAAATTAGAGACATCCTGTGGTTCACTTGCTTATTCAGCTCCTGAAATATTGTTGGGTGACTCTTATGACGCTCCTGCTGTGGACGTCTGGTCTCTCGGCGTCATTCTCTACATGTTAGTATGTGGACAGGCTCCATTTCAGGAAGCCAATGATAGTGAAACTTTGACAATGATAATGGATTGTAAATATACAATTCCTTCACAAATTTCAAATTCATGCAAAAGGTAAATAAACTTAAAATAGCTCATGTTGTTTAGTGTAGGCTGGAGAGATAACTGCCAAGCGGGATGGCTGGAGCTCATAGACACCTTGAGATTTGAGATTGAAACCTCAAATACATTTGAAAAACCTTTTACTTCACCCTTTCGTCAAAGTAAAATGGACATTCATTTTTGACATTAGAAATATGGAGAGAAGTATAAATCCGAATATTAGGTTTTAATGTTTTAAAAATATAACCTAGTGTAGATTACATTGAAAAACAATTCCAGACTCATTGGAAGAATGTTAGTGAGAGAACCAGAGAAACGGGCGTGCCTATCCGAAATCGCCACAGATCCTTGGGTCACTGCAGGTGAAGGTGTCACCATAGAAGACTTCGATACGCCGCTCGTTGCCAAAGAACAATTAACTGATGAGGACCGTTCAGCTATAATTCAAAGAATGGTTAGTGGCTCGATAGCCACCAAAGAAGAAATATTGGAAGCTCTGGATAAAAACGAGTACAATCATATAACGGCAACTTATTTTTTACTCGCCGAAAGAAAGCTGAAATCAAATAGGTGAGAACTAGATTTTTAATTTGATATTTTTAGAAATGAGAAAAAAGTTAGTACCATATGCTTCACAGTCGATCTGGTATTCCAGGTCGGAAGCTTTGCGTAGACAAGAGGGTCCGCGTCGTCCCGAGGCTCTGAGCGTGCAGCGCGCCGCCCCGCAGTCCCTGCTCGCGCCCCCCGCGCGCGCCCTCGCACCGCGCACGCCACGGACGCCGCAGGACGTCCCACCGGTCAATATACTTAATCCATTTAGCTTTAAAAAAATCGAGTTGTTCTAATTTTCAAACCATACATATCATTTATTCATGACAGAATTAAGGAAAGTGGCAACGATCGTGCGACCTTACAAAATACCTTACTATAAGTGGAATCAGTTTGCTAATTACAAAATATGTCAATACAAGTACAGTAGCAATTATAATTAAATTAAAATTTGAAATTATAGAGGTCTAGAAAATGCAGTATAGTAAGAGAAGAAGATGATGACGAGGAGAGCGCGGTCCCGGGCGGTTGCGGTGCGCGGGACGGAGACACGCGACGCGGCTCTCGCTCCGAGGGACGTCTGCATCTCGCAGCCAGGCTCGTGCCGTCCGCGCAGCCCTCCCACCGCCCCGCCCTCTTAGCGGATAACCTCACAAAGGTACGATATTACTACAACCAATTTTGTGTCCCAATTGTGTCAATCCCAAGTGTCCCAATTTTACACCTATATTCGAAAATAATTATCGGAGCTTTATAAGTTTTTATTATAATAAGAAGCCTATTTTAGTCCATAGAAAGTTTCATAGAAATCATTATTCACAGTAGTTTGCTAAAGATTATATCACTAATTTATGGGTTATCAAAATCTTAAACTATAGTACGAACTGTTGCCATTTCATTATTAATGTCAAGACATTGACAAAAGAAAAAAAAAATAATGATTAAATAGCTTTTTTTTTTTATTTTATTTTATTGCTTAGATGGGTGGACGAGCTCACAGCCCACCTGGTGTTAAGTGGTTACTGGAGCCCATAGACATCTACAACGTAAATGCGCCACCCACCTTGAGATATAAGTTCTAAGGTCTCAGTATAGTGACAACGGCTACCCCACCCTTCGAACCGAAACGCATTACTGCTTCACGGCGGAAATAGGCGGGGTGGTGGCACCTACCCGTGCGGACTCCCAAGAGGTCCTACCACCAGTGACCGAAGTTGGCTTTAATTTATATTACAAACGACATAACATAACAAATAATTGGAACTTAACAAGGGATAGGCTTAAGTGAAATATATTAATAATAATGGTTAAACCTTCGATGAGCAGTTTTATTATAGATACACCTACCAAGCATATAAATTAAAGATTATAAAAAAATCTGTTTTAGATGGGTAAATGAACTCAAGGTCCTGCTAATAGATATTGCATGAAGTGGAAGTATATCATCCTTCAAATTTTCAGGTGAATTTGGATGATGAAGGTGGCGGGATCGCAACGCCGGCACCGAGAGTGCCGCCGCCGGCTCCACCTCCCGCTCGCCGGAACCGAATAGAGTGTCGCCGCCGAAGACCTCGCGCCGGCTCTTGCTCCTCGTCGGACTTATCCGATGACGACTCCGAGAAAAAGAAGCGGGCTGCCGAACGAGCCGACGTCGCACTTGATGGTGCTCGCCGAGATTCTCATGACGACTCCAGCGACAGTCAGGAGCGAGGGGCCGGGGCCGGTGCCGGGGCGGTCGGCGGCTCCGAGGCGGGAGCGCAGGCCGCCGGCGACGGCACGTCAGCCGCGGGGGGGCGGGGCGCGAGGGGCGGGGACGCGGGCGGGGACGGCAGGGCGGGCAGCGGGGCGGGCACGGGCCGGCGCCGCCGCACCTCTAAGCACGAGAGTCGGCTCCGCGAGTCGCGGTCGTTGAACCGCATCGCGGAGGTGGAGGAGGCGGGCGGCGCGCGGTGGTCTCGCAGCGGGCTGGTGTCGCTGTGCGGGCGCCCGCTGCTCCGACTGCTGGCGGCGGCGCGTCCCTCTCCGTCAGCGCGCCGGTTGCACGGACTGTGTTAGCGACTCCGCTGGTCTATAAAGTCCCTTTCAGTTTAAACGTATTTATTTATTTCGTCTTTGAACTTGAGCATCTGTCGAGTCTGTCCGTGAAGCATGGTCCGACGCCAGCGACCGAACTGACCTGCGTAACGTTTCAGACATGAAACAGAAACTTGATTTTTAATGAAAAAAAAACCACATGCTACATTTACTGTCTTTAAAAGGCAAAAAATACAGTACGGTTTGTACGATTCATGAACGTTTGTTCATTTTGTATAACGAATTATAGAAGTCGGTCGCAGTTTTGCCATCGAGCTACTCGTTGGTTCGTTCGACTATATTTCACAGGTGACGACAGGGTTTTTGGACTTCTACTTTGATTGAATATTATAAATACAATCTTTATAAAGCTCGTGCTTATAAAATCTGCAATATTTTTACATATATTCTGAAACACCTGTTAGGTGACAAATTTTAATTTTATTGAACATTTTCCTAGAAAAAACTACAATAGGATTTAAATAATTCACCTTGATTATTTTTTAAGCTATTTTTCATAATTAATTTACAGGTGTGACAAAAAGTTGCAATAATAAATACTAAAGGCATATACATATTATATGTTCAATAATTATTATTATACAATATTCGATGCCAGTACCATAACTTTGTAAGGTGGCTGATAGCAAAGTTAAGATTATTTTTTTACTAGAGTTTTATTTATTAGAGAGTTTATACATATTTGAATTAAATTAAAAGTGCAAAATAGTATTCAGAGGATTGGAACATGGTGATATGTTGTATCCAAACGTTGTTTGGCGAAGTGTGACGTCACTCTGAAGGAACATTTTTTATTTTAATATTCTCCAATACTTTCTATCTATATAAATGTCTTATAAGCCCATGCCTCTAAAGTCTTTATAAATATAAAGTTTCCACTAAGTATGTACGGAATCCGTCCATTTTTTTCTTTAATTCACAATAATACATTTGGCCTGTGAATATTATTGCACCCTGCGTTATACCTGTATAAATATCATTTTTGAGATTATTATTTAATAATTTAATGTTTTTTTTTATGCAAAAAATATATACCCATGTATTTGTGTTCTATTAGATGTCAATCAATTTAATGCTCTTTTATATTTTACGGGGATGTTTCTTGTTTATAAAGAATGTTAATTCGCAGAACTGTAAAGTCATACGTCAACAATAATTACATACAAACGTGAAGCTGCATATTTGTTATGTTTAACAGTTGCTGTTGATTTAAATGATATTGAATTGAAAAATATAATTTAATATTATATATTACAAAGAAATGAATCAGTTATAGCTGATGTATATTTCCATTTATGTTAAATTTTATTAAATGTTTTTTGTATTCATAAATATAATTATTTTTACAAGGTTTCATTGTATAATGTAAAAAATTCATTCAAGAGTACGTTTTTGCAAATTGATTCGTTACGATATTCCAATATCGTAAAAAAATTGACTTTGCCTATAGCTTCGTCGTCTGTCCATCTATCGCAGCAAATAAATATGTATAGAGGATTTTGCATATGTTTAAAGAATTTTGGATTAACAGCGCCGAGGCCCCGAACTAATAATAAAAATATTTTATTAGATTTATTTCAGTCTTGACGTGTTCATAATATAACTAGATGATGACTCGGTTTTTTTTTTGATAACGCCATCTTGTTGTGTCTTTAATGCGGTTAGTTGCCCTCAATTAAGAAAAATAGTATTATTATTCGCCAATAGATGTCGGGAAGAGTTGATTATTGAAATTCACGAATAAAACAACATTTTCTGAAAATAAATCGTAGCTAGATCGATTTATCGCCCCCGAAATCCCCTGTATACTAAATTTTATGAAAATCGTTGGAGCCGTTTCCGATATTCAGATTATATATATATTAATATAAAAGAATTGCTCGTTTAAAAGGTATAAGATAAGATTGTTTGGTTACTGGCGATACGATGAATTCAAAAAGTTAACGGAGACTGTATTTACTGAATGCTTACTAATCTATTAACAAATGTGTGTAATAACTTGAATAACTTACCTTTGTAATGACTGATTTGACCAAACAAATTTAATGATTGTATAGTGTACCTAATAATATAATATCAATGCATTTTTTAGTCCGATCCTTGATAGATTCGCATTTTATATAATTGTTATTAAGAACTATTAATTGAGATTACGCGTCAGGTGCTACCCGAACTAAATTTGTGAACATTTTGACTTAAATGTTATCAAATAGGTATAAATGTTCCAATTATTTAAAATTATTTACAAAATTTATTACGTTCTAGATTATGTTTTAAAATATTTTATTATAATATACTATATTATATATAAATTAATTTTTGCACTAAAATATTATTTGGTACTTGAGTTGCGTGCTGTTTTTCACAAATCGTAATAAACAAATGGACGCAGAAATTACCAACGTTAGTCTGACGTCACAATATACCTTTAATTAATACCTTTTTGTAATGATTTTTGGGAAAACTGTACATCGCTAAAACAAGGGATATACATAAAATACTATGCTAAAAGCCTATACAAACTATGACTAGTACAAAGGGATCAGTGGGAATGAAGTTGAATTGTATTGGATTACTTGTTTCTCTTTTTGATGCGTAACTAATGAAGTTTGTGGAATATTTTAAAAAAAATATCGATAATCACGACACCACTTCCACGGCGAACTCGTCAGCCCTACTAGAATAAAATCAATGAAAATAGCACAGTAGTCGCGTGAGACACCTCAATATATAAATTAAATTTCGTTAAATAAACACCGCCAAGTCTATACTTGAAATAGGTATTGACATTACATCGCATTCATCCACAGTAGCAGTAAAACGAGATGCCCTATTTTCTCCAAATCAAACGTTCTTGTGATGTTTATCAATCCCGTGTCATCGTTATCATTTTGCTTATAATACATAACTTTTATGACCTTTTATATTCCTGTCATCAGTGTGCTTAGTGCGAGTTTTTTAACGCTCTCGATAGCATAAAAGTGAACTATAATTTGTATGCAGTTGGATCAGCGCCCCTAGCGGCAAACGCAGGCAAACGTTCCAATTGCATACAAAATCGAGTTAACTTTTACGCTATCGAGAGCGTTAACAAACTCGCACTAAACACACTGTAACTTTTCTCTTACTTTGTTCGGTTTATGCAAATTCACAAATAAATCTCCACAAAAATTCATCTACGCACACGCACTACGCAAAAGCACGGATTTTCGTCCTTTTTACCCCTCTATTATTCAGTTAGCACCTTTTTTGCGCCGATTAATTGCCCTACAGCACATTTATTTTGAAATATACTCGATTTCATATTTAATCTATATAACTAAAAATCAATGTTCCCTCGTTGTCTTGGACCACTTCTGTGTTTCTCGATTTTATCATCACCCCGTGCTCTTTATGATTTGAAAGCCTCCGTTGATACTGTTGTATCCAAAGACCGCTTGACCGGTTAGGTAGACTTGTTTAACGATTTCCCTTATCTTAAACCCCCATTTACATCCAATGAAACGCCCATTTTTTTTGTCAATGACTCTATCAGTATATGGATTCATAATGAATATTTCCCAGCATTTCGAACAAATACGCTACCTGCCCGTCATATAAAAAATAATTTTAATATCGTGAAAAATTGATGCTTTTCTTACTTTGCCCTATATTAATCTTTTGAATTCTCTGTAAGTGGATCAATAATGGGTATAATGTTTCAAGATCGCAAAATATTTGTGGGAGATCTGTGACGTCACCGCTGCGCTCTATAGCTCCTAGGTCTTTAGCTGATTAGTTGATTTTATTTATTTAAGTTTTGTTAACACAACACTTAACCCGAACCGGGACATTTTATTCCTAATATTTAAATACCCTTTAGGTCTTGATGAAGTATCCCTTCACTTATCTAAATTCCAGAACACATTCAGTATATCTATTATTACAATGTTACGTTTAAAATATAATTCTTGTACAGTAGTAAGGGCTGTTTGTTCCCCATTTCACAGTAAATGTTTTCTGCTAACGATTAACAGATTTTGGAATGCGAGTGTTGCGTGGGATATATTATAAATATATTTAAACCGATGTACTCTTATAGTGCCATTTGTATGTAAAAAAAGCTTCAAATTTTAGGGGAATTAGAAGAAAAATATTTATAACCTAGTCTTATAGGTAAAGGTACAGTAAAACCGCAGTTACAAAAGCAAAAAATTAAATTTGGAAATATCATAATTAGTAGGTACTTACGTAATACTGACAACGTTTTTCGTTTCTCCTTATCAATAAAAGGCGTATTAATATGCGAGAATGACATGCAATCCATGCTTACTGATTAACAACTCGCGATCCGTGACTAATAATCACGTTTGTTTTGGTTTTTAGATACGTTCTCGGCTTACCTTATAGCCCAGAAGCATTCGTATGCCCTAATGACATAATATAATAACTGTTTTTATATCTAAAAATAAAATTTTGGTCGCCGTAATAGCTTGTATCGCCCCAGCACATTGACATCGTTAACAGCACGGAATTAAGTGGCTCAAATTAAAATAATGCATTGTTATTATAAATGTAAATTATAGATGCACGCGTTTGCAACAGATGCAAAGCTCTGTGTGCTTAGTGCGAGTTTTTTAACGTTCTCGATAGCGTAAAAGTTAGCTCATATTTGTATGGAATGGGATCGTTTGCCTACGTTTGCTGCTAGGGGCGCTGTTCCAACTGCATACAAAATTTGGCTAACTTTTACGCTATCGAGAACGTTAAAAAACTCGCACTAAGCACACTGATTACGTTAATAATAACACCGGTAATATTATATTCACAGTATGTGCCATACCAGTTCTAACATTTTAAAATAATTATAACAACAGTTTAATTTAACATATTTTTAACCGATACCAGAAACTCAGTTGTATGAATTTTTTGTGGACCTAAGTGATTTTGAAAATATTTTTATTCTTTTCAAGGGTATACTCACGAGATGGGCTAATTGTTAAATCTTATCGATAAATTTCACTCTTGAAGTCGATTTATTTCTTTTTTAGATTATAATCATATTAAATTGTATTTTAATTGAATGGAGAATATCAATTTCGCAGCTAATTTAAAAAAATAATTTCATTGTAGCAATTCTCTGTACCATTATTATGAAACCTTTTGAGTAGTTGATTTTATAAATGTTTTACAATAAAAAAATCTACGTGTAAATAAAATAATTATTGTTGTAAATAGATAGTTTAGCTTTATCGTTGTAAATTATCATAATAGCACTTTAACATCAATATAATTTATTGCCTTAACGTTGTTAATTAACACGACAATGTATTTTTTACGGATAAATTTAGTTTTTGGCGCAATTTTGTGCTTTATTTCGCAATAATATGTCTTGACCAAAGATAAGGTGTGAATGTGTTAAATGATTCCTAATATTTGATGTGCTGTTTGGTGCCAAGTTATTTGTCTAGATTAATTTA